AGCTGTAGCAAAGACAATGGATGAAAGATATTTGTACCCAAGCAAATGGGACAGCAAGGAACATTGGCGATGTAAGTGGGTGGACTTTCTCTAGCTCAAAAGCTACCCAGCCACATTCTAGCCAGGCAAGACAAGTGACCATTGATTTGATGGTAGAAGATGGAAGATTGATGTTGTGGAGGTGAACCAACTGCCCAATTTGGATTGGCCACTGGGGCTTGGCTGATATGAGCAGTGGCATGTGGTAATCAACAGATCAGCGATGGAAGCAGATAGAAAGCGGTGACATCAGGTAGGGAGGAGGTGCGAGGAGGATGAGGAGTAGGAGTGTGGAGGTGACAAAAAAGTGAATGATGATGGGAATTTAGAAGTGACCGGCAGGTGAGAGTAGAAACAACAGAAAAGGGCCCATGGTGGGGCCAAGTAAGGGAAAAGGAAGTAAGGGAGAGACGACAAAAGTGAGGGCGCAATGTGTAGCCAAGTGGCGACATGAAAAATTGCTGAAGTGCCAAAGTGCGGAAAGTACTGAATGAAAGGCAAGGGTAGGCACGACTTGATTGCCTAATAGAGACGAGTACTGATCAGCCACAAGTACAAAAAAGGTAGCATTTATTACTATTCCATGTGACACTGTGCCGGTGTGGCACAAAGGTGAGTCTTTTGAATTTTACTTCGTTACTGACACCTGTCCATGCTACCAGTCAACTTTGGTCCATGACACCATGTTTTGTCATACTTACAACACAGGAGACTCTCCTCTCATTCACGCAAAGACATCCCCATGGTGTAGCTCCAATCATAAGCGGTGCACGGAGATACTTTGGAGAGAGATTAATCAGCAATACTAGTTGTGACTTAGTACTGTCAGGCAACCAACAGGGAAGCTATATAACACAAACAAATGCCTGGCCAAGTCCCTTTGAAGGCGGTGGATCAGGGTATTGTCAAATGAAGAGTATCAATGTAGGCGCGAATCCAAACTAATATTGAACTAAGGAATAATACATTGAGTATATACCCCTTATATAGTGAACCGCGAGGGTCAGACCAAGAAAGGGAAAGAGTAAGAAAGTGGTCTGACCAAATAACTAACCAATAAGAAAAGAGAGGAAAAGTGGTCCGATCTATCATAATTACTAATGGTGTGAGAGAGAGTCTTGGTAAGTGATGTATGATTTGGCTGTGTCAGTAAGCCCATGACTAGGCGCTGAGTCACATCTTAGACCGCTGATTAATATTCCTCCGAAGTATTCCCTGACATAGTGTAGAATCATTGCTATGTCATTCGGATATCTTCTCGAGGATCTATGACAGCTCTCCTTTGTTGTAAGTACAATAGAATAGGAGTATGAAGGGAAAAGAAGAAGAAGAAAGATAAAAGTAATAGAATACCGGCTGAGATCTCTAGTCCGAGGGCGAGAGGAGTGACGGGGAAGGAGTCGGATAACCATGGGAATGCAATGAGAAAAATTGATTCCTTACAGTGAGACTGTTGAATTATCTCTTCTATAAGGACATTACTTGGCAATGGACCAACACAGAGCAAAAAGCTTTTGACAAGCTCAAAAATGTGTTTACAACAACCCCAATACCAGCCTTCCCAGAGCGAAATAAAGAATTTTGGTTAGAAACCAATGAATGTTTCAGACTTTGCTACAGGGGCAGTCTTATCTATCAAATGCCAAGATGATCTCTGGAGGCCTTGTGCTTATTTGTCACATAGTTTGTCACCTACAGAGCACAAGATGCTGGCTATCATTAGAGCTCTGGAGCACTGCCGGCACTATTTAGAAGGTGCTAAGTACCAGTTTGAGATTTGGACTGATCATAAAAATCTGGAGTATTTTATGACAGCCAAAGACCTAAATCAAAGACAAGCCTGCTATGCGGTATATATGTCTAGATTCAATTATAAATTAATTCATAAGCCAGGAACTTCTATGGAAAATGTAGATGCTTTATCTAGAAGAAAAAATCATGCCCATGGCATTAAAGATGACAACAAAGGTGTAATCCTGATAGATCAATCCAGGTTAGCCAATGTTTGAATTGGTCATGATGATGATCTTCTAGAAGTCTTCAAGAAAGGCATCTCATCAGAAGAGAAGAGGCGCCTTGATGGCATTAAAACATATTTATGGGAGGACAGGCTCTTCCATTATAAGGACAGGATCTATGTACCTGAGTTTGCAAGGATCAAGGATATAAATAGACATCATAACACACTGGTAGCTGGGCACCCTTGGTGGCAATGAACCATGGAGTTGATCTCCAGAAACTACATGTGGCCTGGCATGGTCAAAGACATACAGGAATACATAAAGTGTTGTCTTTGCTGCGCTATGGCAAAGAACTCTCATCAATCGCTGGCCGGTAAACTTATACCTAACCCAATTCCAACGTGACCCTGGCAGGATATATTGGTTGATTTCATGACAGATCTACCTGAGTCTAATGGGTATGCTTCAGTAATGGTGGTTGTGGTTTGCTTCTCCAAGGAAGTTGTGTTCATACCCACAAATAAAACTATCACAGCTATTGGTACAGCAGACTTATTTATAAACTTTGTATGGTCTACCCATGGGTTACCCAAGACGGTGATCTCTAATAGGGGAGCTCAATTTGCTAGCAAATTTACAAAAGAACTTTGTTGGATGCTGGGCATCAAACCTAAATTCTCAACAGCATTCCATCTGCAGACAGATGGACAAACGGAGAGACTCAACCAGGAGTTGAAACAGTATCTTTGGATATTTATTAATGACAGACAAATGCATTGGGCCAAGTGGCTAAAAATAGCTCAGTTCTCATACAATATCAAACAGTTGTTGGCTACAGGAAAGACACCATTTGAGGTTACAAGGTCCTACCTACCAAGCATGGGGTAGAACCTGGCAAAAGCAAAACTTAGGCTGCTAAAACTATGGCCAAAGATATGAAGTCTGTTCTAGAAGAAAAACGCAAAGCATTATTTAAATCTGAGCAGATGGTTGAAAGGGCAGAGTGTAGATGGTCAAAGGCCCTTGCATATAAAGTTGGGGACTTGGTTTGGTTAGACACCAAACATCTCAAGTTAAAAGATTAGCAATCTAGGAAATTGACCAAAAAATGGATTGGCCCTTATCAGATTAAGGAAGTTAAGCCCAATGCAGTGGAGCTGGAACTCCCAAAATGTATGAAAGTGGTTCCCACAGTTAACATCAGCTGTGTGAAACCTTATAAAAGAACATTGCTAGGTCAATGAGTAGACAGGCCGGGACCTGTAGAAGTGACACAGGAAGGTCACAAGGAGTTTGAAGTTGAGAAGGTGGTGGATGCATGCTTGAAGCGTGAAAAATTAGAATTCCTAGTCCACTGGAAAGGCTATGGAGATGAGGACAGAACTTGGGAACCAGAAGCCCATTTGGATCATTCTCGAGACACTGCTCGCAATTTTTATAAATTAAAACACTTAGCCCCTAGGAAGCTTCGAGGAATGGACTCAAATCTTTTTTCTTCTTTATTTCAAATAATGCCCAAAAATCTAACTACAACCTCTGGAACTTGGTCTTGCCTGGAAGTTGAGCCATAGGAGGGGGGCAGACTCCAAATCCTGTTAGCAGTGGGTGTCCAAGCTATCCTAGTGTCGTAGTCACATATTTTTGTATTACATAATCAAAATTTTCTGAGCTTAATCCGAAACTTTAACACTTGGTTGAACACCCACCGCCGAATGGCAAAACTTGCTGTGGCACACATTTGACTCTGTTTGTATCAACGGCTCAGCTGCCAAAAATCACCCCGGAGCAGGACCATTTTGGACATGTGCATCACCATAACACCACCAAAAACAAATAGGACTAAACCCGTGTACTTTACTCACCTTCTTTGGGTTTCTTGATGTCAGCTCTAAAGTATGTGGTTCCTTCACTTGATGAAATGCAGGCAGCAGTACAGCAATTTTTTAGCTATGCACCCTGCAGCTGGCAGCTCAGATCTGCTCAAGCCCAACTCCAACAACAAGATGTTTTTACACTGTCAGCAACAGGTTCGGGAAAGACTCTCTGTTTCTGGATACCACTGCTTTTCAATGACAATGGTATCATAATCCTCATTACACCGCTCAATATTCTTGGGGACAAGAATAGCGAAGAGTTAAAAGTAGCTAAGATACCAAACATCAATCTCACAGCTAATACAGCTACTGACAAAGCCTTTAAGGTTGGATCCTTTGTGATAAGGGCATCTGAGTTGTTAATTACTAATAAACACTACAGGATATTGAAGCGGGCAAATACCAAGCTATTAGTGTCAGCCCAGAGCATATCAGGAATGACTCTCACTTCAAAAAGCTGCTGGACAGTCCTAGGTTCACGCAACAGCTTTTCAATGTTACCCTGGATAAGTCACATTGTATCAGTAAGTGGGGGAATAGTCTCCGACCAGAGTATGGTGAAATAGGATATACTTGTTGGCTTCTTCCCCTGCACATTTCCTTTCATTGTGCTTTGGCAACTATTCCCCCACATATTCTGGATGATGTCAAAGACAAGCTTCATACTTGCTCGAACATGGTCAAGGTCCATTGTACAAATGACCGGCCAAACATATACTATTGAGTCAAGGAGCTGATCTATCCAATCAACACAAGGTGAGACCTACTTTGAGTGCTGCAGTTAGACGGAAATGAACAGTTCATGGTCTTTGCAAACTCACGAAAAGAAACAGAAGCTATAGGTACATTTTTACGTTCACAAGCCCCCAGGGAACATGCAGATAAGATAGTGTGGTTTCACTCTGGAATGAGCCCCCAATTCTGAAAGACTATGGTAGAAAAACTTAAAACAGGTGAGCTCTGGGGAATATGCTACACAGACACTGTAGGAATGGTACATTAGAAAAGTCTCAACAGATAGACATACTTCTCGTGCTGAAACTCTTGGCAGGGTCTTGATCTGCGCAGCATAAATGTAGTAATACAGTGGAAGTATGTCACATCACTATGTACTCTGGTGTAGCGCATGGGGAGAGCTGTTCAAAATCCAGAGCTTGATGGTGTTGCAATCTATTTTGTTGAGCCAAAGTACCTGGACAAAAACAAAGGCAAGGCAAAAAGAAAATGTAGCTCAAACAATAAAGGGAAACAACTCATGAACAAACAAAAACGGTTAGGGACTGGCAGGGTTGCACAGGAAGATGAGGGTGGTGACATTGCAGACAATGACAGCAAGATGAGTGATGTGGATGATGATACAGAGGACATCACTAATGATGTTGAGATACATGGGGTAGACTCGCAGCTACCAAATATCACCAAAGAATCTACAGCTGTTGTAGGACCACATACCAATTGCCTTATTCCCGATGCCCCTACAAACACCAAGTACGAGGTGAACGCTATGGAGACCTATATCAATGCACACAGTTGAGGTATTTGTCCAAGGAACATTATCAATGAATATTTCAACAATCCAAGTTGTGAGTCAAAGACCAGAAGAAAAAAAGTTAGTACACTTACATGTCTTCACAGCTTGCAACGGCAACAGCGACTCAGATTCAACATGCTGCGAGTGGTGCAACATGAAGCAGTCACATCACTGTTATGATGCGTGCAATCCAACCAGTGCATGCCTCTTTCTGCCTTCAAAATTGCAGCCACCACCTAAACACACTCATGCAAAGGCAAAATATAGAGTTGAACTATTCACTATGGCCACAAAAGACATTGCATTCTGCAGAGCGCTTGAAGGGTGGAGAGAAGAGGAGATGATAAATAGTGGACTTGGCAACTATGATTTCTTTGGCCCACAGCTGATTCTAGCAGATTCTATTCTTGACCATATTGTCAGCTTGGCTCACAACTCAAAACTCTCTGACACAGCTTCTTTGAAAGACCAAATAAATTGATGCCATGCCAACCAGTTTGGGCAAAATGTTCTCGCACTATACACATCTCATTATCCGCTGCCGCCTCTATTCACCACATGCCCGCTACAAAGCAGACCACTTGCACCTACAGCACCACTTTGGAGTCCTAGGATTCCTAAATACCCCTTGGATGAATTTAATTTAAGAGAGTCCTGTATGGATTATCTGCATGTGGGATAATCCCAGGATAAAAGCCTCTTAGGCACATCATTGAACCATAACTGATCAACCTAAGAGGCTATGAAAAGAGGTTGACTGAAGTGCTTCAGAGGCCTTTCTCTGTACTTTGGATAGGATTGGTTGGATGCTAAAACATGTAAATTAGCTGGATGCTTCGAGACAATAATTAATATGTTACCTATATGTCCAGTTGAACCACAAGCCCCACACTTGCGCTGTTTTCAAGCTGGGTTTTGTGCATGTAAGTCTAACATAGTATTTGATGTGCTTGCCAAGGGTCCTTATATTGATTAAAATTTCAAAAGTTATATATCCTATATTATTACAAGGTAGGACTATTCTTGGATGTTCCAAATTCAAAAATGTCTCATAATAGGTAACAAGGTGTCCTTGAGGGTTTATATATGTGGTAGTCTAAATATGTCCCAGATACTCCAATAGGATGTCCTCATTGTACCCTAAATGTCCTTTAGGAGTACTTGTATAGTGTCCATAATATATAATGGCACTATTTTGGAATATCATTAGGTACTCCCAAAGGACATCCAAGATAGAATAAAAATATCCTACTAAACTATTTGAAATACCTAGTGGGATATATGTAGTATTCAGGGTAGTCTTTATTGGATATTGTGGACATTGTACAGATACTCCTGACGAACATCCAGGATATTTTAGGGATATTTTAGATAACCATTGAGACACCAACAGTGCAAATATTAGTTCCTTTGGATATTTTAAACACTATTTAGTACCTTTAAAGAACATCCATATATAACTAAAAATATTTTAAAGGACTTACTAAGATACTCGCAGTACAAATAATAGTCTCATTAGATTTTTTAGATAATATATAATGCTATTAAAGGATAGCAAAAGTAAATTAGGGACATTCTACTAGAGCAACCGGGATATCTAGTGAGAAATAAGTAGTATACAGGGTAGTCCCATTAAATGTGGTGAACACCATATAATACTCCCAAAGGATGTCCAAAATATAATAGTTATATTTTAAATAAACTATTGGGAGATAAACAATACAGTTATTAGTTTCTTTACATGTTGTGAATACTATTTGGTACTCTCACAAAATTTATAGATGCAATATGGTTGATATAGATGTACACTGTTTTGATGGCACGAGTGTAGTCTTAAACCAGACATTTTGGGAAGGCGCAGAATAAGCCGCGCTGAGAGGTTCCCAAAATGTCTGGACACTTTTGTCTTAGGATGAGTGCATCGAGTCACAGTGTCACAGACACCCGACTCTTTTAGGCAATGATTGCCGCTTTTAGACCAAGATTATCATGATGTAATTATGCTTAGTAGTACAGAAATCAGAAAATATTGACAAGTCCCATATTCAATGATCATTCAATTATTTGTCACTCCCCATGCTTCATTAAGCTTCATTAAATGGTCACTGTCCCTATAGAATATCTATCCCATGAAGCCATCAAAAAGAAATCCTTTACCAACCTTGTAGAAGCTCATCAGAAAGCTGAAGTGGCAGGCCAAGAAGCAGACTTACAAGAATCACTTCGGAATGTTGTCCGCCAACAATGCAACGGCTACACCCCCTGTTCATGGCAAGTGGATGCCGCTGAGGCCTTTACTTTGGGACTCGACTGCACCATTATTGCTGGCACAGGATCTGGAAAGACTTTGGCTTATGTCATGCCATCCTTTGTACAGAAGGATGGCATAACAGTTGTTATATTGCTGTTGAAAACTATAGAAGAGGAACAGGCCAATCAGTTTCATGCATGGGGTGTACAGTCAGTTGCGGTAAATGGGAACACATATAATCAAGACTTACACAAGGTAAGTCTATTTCTTGAGTCTCTATGTTGCTTGGCATGTGTAGGAGCTCAAGGACCTTAAGTATCAAATATTGTTAGCATCACCAGAAATAACAAATGAAAACCCCCAATTTAATGCATTGTTGTGCTCACCTGCTTTTCAGAAATGTGTACTCGAATACATAGTTGGCGAAGCCCACTGTATCTCACAGTGGGGAGGTGACTTTTGGCCAGTGTATGCCAAATTAGATAGGCTCCATTCATTTGTGCCTCTAGGCACACCTATATATGCAATGTCAGCTACAATGTCCCCTGCTGTCTTGGCCAAGGTTCAAAAAACACTGCACATTAGCGCATCAAAATCCTTTCATTTGAACTTGGGAAATGACCAACCTAATGTAATGCAGGAGCTTTGCATCATTGCTGGCTCTGCAGACTATTCAGCCCTTGATTTCATTGTCAAAGACGCACAGGCTGCCAATGAAATACCACGGGCACTCATCTTTGTTAACACTGTTAGTCAGTCCCAGGCCGGCTTTTGGAGACTCCACAAAATTGTATCTGACCAACTAAAGAGTCAAATCAGTTATTTGAATGCCAGACACTCACCACGCACCAGGAAAACTGTCTTGCGTGACTTTTGTGAAGGAAAAATAAGGGTCATGTTTGTAACCAAAATAGGTGGCATGGTTAGCATTCAAAGCAATTTAATAAGCTTGCTTTGTCTAATAATTAAACAGGGACTCGACATACCAGATGTTGAGTTGGTGATCCAATTTGGAGTCCCATCATTACTGTCAGTATGGCTCCAAAGAGCAGGCCAAGCCGTCCGCAACTTCACTCTTCAAGGACGTGTTATAATGATGGTTGAAGTGTCAGTGCTTCAACGCATTAGTAAAGCAAAGAAAGTCAGAACTGAAGAAGAGAACTTAGAGTCAGAAGATGAGCTTGAAGACTCAGACCATGAGATTGGAATAGAGAAAGATCCAACGTACCGCAAGAAAATAGAAGAGCCTCTTCAAGCCTGGATTGAAACCACATGTTGTTGGCGTGATATTGCAGATGTATTTTACAATAATCCACCCAGCCGTACATGTAGGTTGCACATTTGCTGTGGCAGCATGACATTCTGATGTTTGCACCTAGCACCTACCAGTGTCTGCTGTGACAACTGCAACAGAACTGCGACGGGCCTTATGCCCTCCAATATTATTTTACCTCTACTCAGTCCTGCTTACACATCCTCCGAAACTAGTGACAAGGAGCAGGAAGACACACCTACCCATGAACAGAATGTAATGGGCAAGTGTGTGATGAAAACCGCTGATCAGAATTCCCCACTCACTCGATGCACAGGCCAACATCTCCAAACCATCAAGGATACTCTGGACCATTGGCGTGTGACGATCTGCCAGCGTGACTATCCCCACTGTTCATTTACTGGCCTTGCACTTCTCCCCAATCTCACTCTAAAATCAATAGCCTCTAATCATTCGTGGAAAACAATTAATGACCCTTGCAAATCTCTCAGGGACTCATGGCCATTAGTTGATGTATATGGTGGTGAGGTTCTGGACTTGGTAAGGCACTTGTACCACAAAGTGCGAGAGTCTCATGAAGGGGCCAAAGTTGAGAAACACCAAGCAAAGAAGCTTGCAAGGGAGGCCGTGAAGGAGGAGAAGAAGGCTGTAGGAAGGGAGCTGCAAGTGCAGAAATGAAGCTCACACCAAGTCTGCAATTCCAGCGCAAGTGGTAAAGAAAATGTACCACTGCCTGGTACCTCAGAGTAAGCTATTTCTTCACTTATCAGCTGATACCACTGACACTCTTTCTTGTAAGGTTCCAAGTAAATTTCAACACACCCTCAGTCCCGCTAGATGCAACTCAAACTTTGTATGCCACTTGGACCTTAACACCTTCATCCTCCACTGCTGTGCCGCCGTTTTTGCCTTTCACTCCCTCATTTTTTGCCAGTTCTTTTCAGCCCAAAACGGAGACCTACAAGGACTAGCAGGAGGTGCAATACCTTGGACTGTAGTACTGTATATAGAGCAAGTGATTATATACATTTATCTTTTATCCTCTTGTTCAAGAGTGCCGCTCCCCTTGAGATGATATACTAAGGACTCGCTTTATCCTCCGTGAGTCAGGTAATATGTTCTGGCATCTCTCAGTATTGCTTACCTCAAGCCTCAAGTTGTTCACCCTCCCATGCTACCAACAGACAATACACCCATGGACTTCCTCCATCCTCCGTGGGTCTGGTAATATGTTCTGGTATATCTCTCAGTACCGCTTACCTTGAGCCTCAAGTTGTTCACCCTCCCATGCTACCAACAGACAATACACTCATGGACTTCCTCCATCCTCCATGGGTCAGGTAATATGTTCTGGCATTCATTATAGTATATTTGTCACTACCCTACCATATCTCCTGTGTTGCCCGAACATAACTTCTATTATCCCACCATCTTCCCAATGTCCCTTTTGTGAGTATATTGAGAGACCCTTTCATCACACATCTGTAGTCCCATCTGCTTTACTCTTCACCTCTCGTCCATCCTGCTGTGAGTGAATATTTGAGGCAATGTATGTGTTATGCAGGATCTCGATATCCTTCTCCTTGAGTGGGTCAGAGTGGTGTAGGCCTTGTTGAAGTGTCCGAATTTGAAGTTCTGTATGCTTGCGCACAGCTCTGAGTGCAGGAATGGCTGGGGAAGTTTTCTTCATGAGAGCCCAAGATGCATTTGGGCCACAAGTTCCAAATGTAACCTTTGTATCCTTGATATTATGTTCATGCTCTTTGTCTATAGGCAGAAATCCGAGGGGGTGGCCAGTTGTGTTCATCAACCAGCACCTGTCAAGAACAAAGTCTCTGTCAAATATAAGTTAGTAAATTCCAATAAAATGCGAGAGAACTGTACTTTAGTTCTGGTGGCCATTCGTGCTGCAGACATTGTAGTAGCTCTAGCACTTCAATAGTATACCTTTTGTTATTACCTCCCGCAAAACAAAACAAAAAATGGGACAGAGTCTCCTCTATTATTCCCTCATCACCGCATTACATGGCCCTCTCTAAATCTATATACCTCAACACATGACAATTCCACAGGATGCTCTGATGCAAGACTTGTAACAATACCCAAAGTTTGTATACTCTGGTGCACACGCCAAACTCTAAGTAAAGGATAATGGGTGACTGGGTTTGTATACCGCAGTCCCTGAGGCTAGCAAGCTCAGTGGGAGGACCAAGTTAGTTGTGGGTAAACAACAGGAAGACTCGCTGAGGAGTTTCCTGGATTTTATTGGGGTATATATACTACTACAGGGTTATTTGTACATGTGTACTGTACAGTTGATAGAGGCAGTGGCTGATGATGTCATGGGGCCACGCCCGTGTGACCAGCTCCACTGCGTGAGAGAGTTGTATCTAAAAAAGGTTTAAAGAGGAGAATGAAATTTAAAGGTCCGAAAATGTGTGATTGTAACACTACCCCCCTCCTATGGTTCGACTTCCAGACGAGACCACGTACCAGAGGTTGTAGTTAAATTTTCGGGCATCGGTTGAAATAAAGAAGAAAAAATATTTGCGTCCATACCTCAAAGCTTCCTGGGAGCTGAGGGTTTGTTTTTATAAAAATCGCAAACAGCGTCTCGGGAATTATCCAGATGTGCTTCTGGTTCCCAAGTTCTGTCCTCGTCTCCATAGCCCTTCCAGTGGACTAGGAATTCTAATTTTCCACGCTTCAAGCGCGCGTCTACGACTTTCTCCACTTCAAATTCTTCGTGACCTTCCTGTGTGACTTCTACAGGTCCTGGCCTGTCCACACGTTGGCCTGGCAACGTTCCCTTGTAAGGTTTCACACGGCTAATGTTAACCGTGGGTACTACCCTCATACGTTTTGGGAGTTCCAGCTCCACTGCGTTGGGTTTGACTGCCTTAATCCAGTAAGGGCCAATCCACTTTTCGGTCAATTTCCTTGATTGCCGATCTTTTAACTTTAAATGTTCGGTATCTAACCAAACTAGATCACCGACTTGGTAATGTGGGGATTTCGAGCGTCTACGCTCTGCTTTTACGATCATCTGCTCAGCAGATTTAAACAACGCCTTGCGTGTTTCTTCTAAGACAGACTTCATGTCTTTTGCCATTGTTCCCGCAGCCTCGTTCTTGCTTTTACCAGGTTCTACACCCATTCTTGGTAGGTACGACCTCGTGACCTCGAATGGTGCTTTTCCTGTAGCCGACGACTGTTTAATATTATATGAGAACTGGGCTATCTTTAGCCACTTGGCCCAATCCGTCTGTCTATCATTGATAAATATCCGGAGATATTGCTTCAATTCCTGATTGAGTCTCTCCGTTTGTCCGTCCGTCTGCGGATGGAATGCCGTGGATAATTTAGGCTTGATGCCCAGCATCTTACAAAGTTCTTTTGTAAATTCGCTAGCGAATTGAGGTCCTCTATCGGAGATTACCGTTTCAGGTAACCCGTGGATAGACCATACAAAATCTTTAAATAAATCTGCCGTACCAGCGGCTGTAATAGTTTTATTTGTGGGAATGAATACAACTTCTTTTGAGAAGCGATCCACCACCACCATTACTGAATCATACCCGTTTGACTCAGGTAGATCCGTTGTGAAATCAACCGATAGATCCTGCCAGGGTCCTGCTGGAATCGGATTAGGAATAAGTTTACCGGCCGGCGGTTGATGCGAGTTCTTTGCCATGGCACAGCGAAGACAGCACTTTACGTACTCTTGTATGTCTTTGACCATGCCAGGCCACATATAGTTTCTGGAGATCAACTCCATGGTTCGTTGCCAACCAGGGTGCCCAGCCACTGGTGTGTCATGATGTCTATCTATGACCTTGATCCTTGCAGATTCAGGTACATAGATCTTGTTTTTGTATTGGAAGAGCCCGTCTTCCCATAAATAGTTTTCAATGCCCTCAAGGTGTTTCTTTTCTTCTGATGAGATGTCTTTCCTGAAGACTTCTAGAAGATCACTATCTTGCCCGATTCTAACATTGGCTAGCCTAGATTGCTCTATTAGGACTACGCCTTTGTTATCATCTTCTATGCCTAGGGGATGATCTTCTCTTCTAGATAAGGCATCTGCCTTTCCCATTGAAGCTCCGGGCTTATGAATTAATTTATAATTGAATCTAGACAGGTATACCGCGTAGCGGGCTTGTCTTCGATTCAGGTCTTTGGCCGTCATAAAATATTCCAGGTTCTTATGATCGGTCCAAATTTCAAACTGGTGTCTAGCACCTTCTAAGTAGTGCCGCCAGTGCTCTAAAGCTCTAATGATGGCTAGCATCTCTTTGTCATAAATTTGATAGTTGCGCTCTGCAGGCGACAAACTATGTGATAAATATGCGCAAGGCCTCCAAAGGTCATCTTGGCATTTAATAGATAAGACTGCCCCAGTTGCGTAGTCTGATGCATCGGCTTCTAGCCGGAATTCTTTGTCTAGCTCTGGAAAGGCCAGAATGGGGGCTGTCGTAAATGCTTGTTTAAGCTTATCAAAAGCTTCTTGTTCTTTGTTGGTCCAGCGCCAAGCATAGTCCTTTTTAGTGAGATCGTTCAACGGTCTCGCGAGTTTTGCAAAGTTCTCGATAAATCTTCGGTAGAAATTGCCTAGGCCTAGGAATGCTCTAACCCCTTTTACTCGAGTTGGTTCCGGCCATTCCAGAATAGCTTTAACCTTCTCAGGGTCCATCCCAATGCCGTTCTGGCCAATAATCATGCCGAGACAATCGACTTCTTTTACTTTAAAATTACACTTCTCGGGTTTTACAAATAGGTCCCGGTCCTGTAAGCGTCAAAGGACTTCTTGCACGATCCTGTCATGCTCAGTCTCATCGTCCGACTTTGTAAATATAAGAAGATTGTCAATATAGATAACGACACAGTTTTCCATATCAGCAAAGATTTCGTTCATCATGCTTTGGAACGTCGCAGGCGAGTTCGTAAGTCCAAAGAACATGACGAGGGGCTCAAAGGATCCTCGGTGGCATGTGAACGCTGCCTTCCAAGTGTCTTCTCCTTTGATGAGTACATTGTTGTAGCCCCATCTGAGATCCATCTTTGTCAATAATTTGGCGCCAGCCAATTTGTCTACTAGCTGACCAATCAATGGTAGCGGATAGGCATTTTTAACCGTGTGTTCATTTAAATAACGATAGTCCATAACCATACGCTTTTTACCATCCTTTTTAGGTATAAAGAATACTGGTGCCCTCTGAGGACTCTTGGAAGGTTTGATGTACCCTTTCCTGAGTTGCTCATCTATGAAGGTTGAAACCTCCTCTCTTTTTGTAGCAGAGAGGGGAATCATGTGTCCCTTTTTCGGTTTGAAAGTATCCTTTAACTCTATAGCATGGTCCCAAGGCTTAGCCTCCGGGAAGCGCTCTGATTTATGTTTTGAAAAGACTTTCCAGAAGTCATGATACTCTGGAGGTACCAGCCTCTTTATTTCCTCTTCAGGTTTAACCTCATCATCATCGTCGTCTACTTTATCCAGAGATCTGAGTGTGTTATAAACGTGACCAGCGTTTATCTTCTCTTCAGATTCAGATTGACGTATGTGAATGGGTTTACCTAATTCGGAACACTCTTGAGGACAACGTGACAGTGTTACTGCCCCGGTTTTCCAGTCTATCTCAGGGTTGTGTTTAAATAGCCAGGTCCAGCCTAATATTAAGTTAATCTTTCCTAGTTGAGTTGCTTCTGCGGTGATGCGTTCTTGGTGTCCTTGGTACTCGACCACAAAGGAACACTTGTGTGTTATGCATCCACCAGCATTAAGCGTGCCATCAACATTGTAAACAGGAATAGATGCTTCTAATTTTTGGAGCGGGAGACCAGCTTTCTCCGCCCAGACCTGATCTATAAATATTCTGTTTGCGCCTGAATCAAGCAGTGCGCTGGTTGGGTGTATAGTCCCTTGGGCAAGGTCTTCAACCGCAACGTCTAAACAGATCTCTTTTTTAAATATGTACATGCGCATCAACACACGCCTTGGGGTTTCTTTTGGAAGTGGCTCGAGAGAAATGATAGGATTGAAAGTTACATGTTTTTGTACTTTGTGCTTTTCTATATTTTTTTGTATTTTGTTTCCAGAATCAAGCACCCTAGTGTTTATCTCGCCGGGGCCACGCTCATTTTGAGACGCTGGTGCAGCGGTAACATTGGTATTATAATTTAAACTATCACAATCATCTGATTCGTCTGTTATACAACCCTCGAGGGGTGAGAAGTGATTATAAAATGAAAAATTGGGAGCCACCCCATGTACTTTATTGTGCGTGCCACATCCCGTACCAGGAGCCACCTTGTTGTGGTTTACTTCATTGTTTCGTGGAGCAGAGGGACCCAAGTCCCCTAAGCTCCGAACTCTTTTCCCTGTGCCTTCATCTCAGCAGCCTGCTGATCATAGAAGAAAGCACGAATTTCGTTGTACGAACGACCGGTCAATGAATTGAGCCGATCGTCTGGTTTTTCTGTTTCAAGTTGGCGCGCCTGGCGCCCTTGGTTGTTTTTGTTTTGAGCGGCCTGCACTCCGGTTCTACAGTCTCGGGACATGTGTCCCTCCTTGCCACAGCTGTAGCAAGAGCCCTTGAATCTGCGCGTCTGTCCTCCTTGGACCGCGCCGATCTCCATTGGAGCTCCTCTACCTGGCTGTAGCCCGTAAGGCTTGAACCCGTAAGAATTTTGTTTTTGGTTTGGTAACCCAGGGCGCCTCTGGGGTTGGTTGTTTGTGTTGGTGGACCTGCCACAGAATTGCATCTGATAGAGCTCCTGAGCTCTACCGATATCCCGAACGGCTTCTGCTGCGTTCGCCAGCTCGTCTTCTCGTCGCCCTTGCAAGTAGAGCTGTTGGGCAATTGCTGGAGCTACGTTTTGCTCCAACAATTCTACTGCATGTTCGTTCCCGAGCCCTCCCTGAATGGAAAGAGCCAGGAACCGGGTAACAAAGTTGTCCGTCCTCATGTTTCCTTGAGTAAAGGAACGGATCTGCTGGCGCGCCCAGTCGCGTTCGGCCTGGGGCTTAAAATATTTTTCGATCTCGTTTTTGAGATCGTCCCATGCTGGCCAGTTGCCCGACTGGTAGCATTCTTGTAACTGTACTTGGGTGTATCGACCCGCCACAGGTCCCTTGAGTCTCGACAATACTGCAGTCGATAACTCGAAATCATCTTCGAAGGCTTTGTAATTTGCCTTCACCCATATTTGGAGCTTGATCCACCACTCGGCGAATCTTGCTCTGTCTCCGTCGAAACTGCCGGGGTCAGCGACAATCTCGACCTTCTTGTTGAACTTTCGTTCAACTGATGCAGGGTTGGTTTGCACCTCTGCCAGCTGAACGGTAAGATCTGCGATCTGTTGCCGCATCCTGTGAAGGAGCGCATTCAGATCATCTTGCGACATCATGTCGACTTGTTTCGTTTGTGATATAAAAAAAAGATAACTGGGGGTCCCCGCTTGCTCTACTGCGGATCAACCTCTTCCCAGCTGGATATCGGATCTCAATCTCCGACTACCCACACGTATAGTAATAAAAAGTATATAAAAGGTAACGTAATAAACCCTGGTCCGAATGGTTGTCAGGGGGTGGTCCGCTTGTTAAGCTGTCAACCCTTCTCCAACTGGCGGAGACAAGTGCCCGGCCTGGTCAGAGGTATTTGAAGAAGAAGTTTTTCTAACTAAACTAACAGCCAGAGGTTCCACACCTTCTGCTGTGACTACGTACTCCCCTTAACACTGGGGGCCGTGTAACGTTTCAATTAATTCCTATTTCCCTTGAGTATGGCACTAGCCTATCTCTGCGGGAACAGCCTTTAGGTTTTACGGTCTGGCACTAGGCCAAACGACGCGTGTATAACCAAAAAAGGTTTTCAGAAACCACCTCTTAACGCTGAGGGCCGCGTATACGGAAATCCACTTAAGCCTGTGGTCCGGCTTTGCACTACGTGCAGGAGAGTGATAAGAGCGAGTCTTAGTGTAACAATACCCAAAGTTTGTATACTCTGGTGCACACGCCGAACTCTAAGTAAAGGATAATGGGTGACTGGGTTTGTATACCGCAGTCCCTGAGGCTAGCAAGCTCAGTGGGAGGACCAAGTTAGTTGTGGGTAAACAACAGGAAGACTCGCTGAGGAGTTTCCTGGATTTTATTGGGGTATATATACTACTACAGGGTTATTTGTACATGTGTACTGTACAGTTGATAGAGGCAGTGGCTGATGATGTCATGGGGCCACGCCCGTGTGACCAGCTCCACTGCGTGAGAGAGTTGTATCTAAAAAAGGTTTAAAGAGGAGAATGAAATTTAAAGGTCCGAAAATGTGTGATCGTAACAAGACTTTGTCCTGTGTGTTTTTGCTTTGCAGGTGAATGGCCTCTAAGGCAGTACTAGATGCAAGTGTCTTCAAAATTTCTTTTGCGAGATGGACAAGTTGGCCTGGGGATTTGCAACGGAGATGTGCCAGGGTCTCTACTTCACCCACAACTGTCCAACATGCACAAAAGTGCACTTCAGCAACTTGAGTGATTGCATTATGCAGATTCTGATGGAAAGGCCCTCGGGTTTGCACAAAACCCAGTCCTTTTCTTTCAAGCAAAGTGAAAGCGTACATAAGGCCCCAGCCAGCTGTAGTCCCTAAGTACTGCTTGTGCAGTGAGTTAGCAAATGCCATCTGTAAATGAAACCACCCAAGGATGGGTACAAGCCAGTCCAGGTGGTTAAAGAAATTGTGATCCTGAGCACGAAACCTAAAAAGTCCTTGTAGCCGCTCCACTGTTAGCTGGTCACCAACCCATGGGATTACTCATTCAAGACCAGTCTTCTTTTGTTTGTCAACAGAGTCCAGCTGAAGCTGGGAAAACCACTCGCCCAAAAGCATCTCATTGCCTTTGTAGCTGGCTTCTTCAATATGTACTGTTCCCAGCATGTACTGCTTTGTGATATATTGCTGGCCTGATGGTAGTCTTTGGACAGGAGCAGGTGGGTTGAACACTGAATCATTGCAGTGTTGGTATGTTTCAAAAGAAAATTTTGGTGAAGTAATGAGCCACTGAAGAACATGGTAGAGATCACGGGAATGGCGAGAAGAGGCTGCAACCTGTTCAAGGAGTAGGATGCCTTGCACTGTGAGTGGAACCTTCCGTCCAGCTGCTCGATACTCCTGTAGTGTACAATTGCAGAGTGGTTTAATTGGAGGAGCGCCTGGTTGTAAAAATACGGTAGCTGCAGTTCCCAAATCAAAATGGCTTTTGTTGTCAACTCACTGTGAAAAGACACAAAAGGGAATATTAAGGTTGTCATGAGATATCACAAAGGGATGGATGTGGATTATTTTACAGAGTTCATTCATCTTGTTCTTAGAAATAGAACTGATGGCCCGGACAGACTATTTATAACTCATGGTCAGGCAGAATGTCCGTAGGAGGTCGAGGCTTTTTGCAGAGATGCCTTGAGACTTAAGGAATGTTGTCAACATTTTTGGCCAGCGGCTGTGATGATGAGAGCGCAAGGACATGATCTGAAATATAATAGAAATATTGACCTGGTGATTGGGAATTCAGTGTTAGTAATAGCTTTGGATGATGTACTACGCACCAAGTCAGGATTCTTCAAAGTGTTTTGTTTCTCTTGCACAGCTGTTTTGTTGAGTCGCTGAAGCAAGGCCCAGAATTTTGGGGTGCCTCCAAAACCAGGACTACGCAGTTTCAACAATATGTCTTCAATGTAAAGGCTTGTCAGGCCTTCTTCCAAAACATCCTCTGGGGGACAATAGCACATGTCCTTGATGGATTCCAGCTCAGCCTCAAGTACGTCTGCAACACATGACAAGGAAAATTCTTCAAGCACCAGTTGTGCTCCATTAGCACGAGAATTGTGAGTCCCTTTTGTGCGTGGGAGTTTGTGCCACCGCTTTAAAATCCCTGTAAGCTCAGCACTGACCATCAACGAAGTCCTTGCATACCGCATTTTTGTGTCAATGATAGACTCATGATCACCCCAACTAAGGAAATCCAAAAATAATGGTAAGTCGAGGCCTACTGAATTCATGTAGTCCAGGATAGCTCAAACTTTGGCTGCGGGACTTCCTGTTAGGTTCTCCTTTAAATGGCGAGTGTTGACAAGTTGAATGGGGGATGATGTGTATGAAGGGAACTCCAAGCTGTTGCTATCTGCCAGTGGATCATAATCTGGCTCAAAAAAACCATCAGCAATGAAAGGATTGTAGTCAGTATCCTCATTGACATCTGAGAAGCTGAGGGAGTCATTGGATGTCTGGTCTCCACTCATGTTATCCAGCATTGATCACAAAATGCGACTCGGAGAAACTGCATAAGTATGTACAAGGACCAACAGATAAGATAAGATAATCAAATGATAGAGCCAAAAAGTCCCGGCGTGACACGATGCACTCGTCGCCCATCAAATATCTCCAGACATTTGGGAAGTGGCTCCAGCGCGGTTTATTCTGCACCTTCCCAAAACAGCTGGCTCAAGACTAGCACAAGTGTCCTGGCAGGACACTTGCACTTTCCCACAGTTGATGAGACACTTTAGAGGGCCTTTACCAACATCACAAACATCTTTGACTGCTCTTTTACACATTCAAGCTCCGCCCAAATAATGTTTCACGCGCTTGTGTGTCAAAGTGGCTGGCTCAATGTGTATTCAAGCTCCGCTTGAGTCCTCAAAAAAGCGGCCAGAGGCCTTCATAGGATTAATCTAGCTACCACACTGTGTTTCAGACCACTGGGGTGCGACCTAACAGATTCTCTCTTCCTAGGCAACATTCTTTAGTCCACTACATCACATTGATACAAATGTTTGGTGCCCCAAACGGACTGTGTTCGTCCATCACCGAATCCAAACACATTAAGGCTGTCAAAGAGCCATGGCGCCGTTCCAACCGTTATAATGCACTTGGGCAAATGCTACTCACAAACCAAAGGCTTGACAAACTTGCAGCCTCACAAGTCGATTTTATAGAGCGTGGCATGCTCTCTGGAAATATTCTGAGCCCTCAGGCTGCTGTAGAAGGCGGCGTCAATATCAACAGTGGTGATCTTGAAAGCAATCCGGTTTCAGGGGGGCCACCTACTGTGACACATGTTCAGCTTGCTCGAACTCGAAGTAAGTTGTTTTTTTTCTAGTTTAATTTACCCACTAATCTGAAATTGCAGAGCAAGGATATGCACGGACACTGGACCAACTAGTGAAGCAGCTTGACCAGCCAAGGCTGGTCGAGCTTGTCCAAAGATTTCTATATAATCAGCAACATCTACATGATCCTGATGCACCATGCACAGCCAATGTCGCCCTTTCTAATTGTCCAGCTGGGTCACTCAATGCAAAGATATCGGTATTTCACTCAGCTACAGCCATGTTCTATGCCCCAAGTGATGAAAGTGGACTCGGAGGTATGCATTGAGAAACTATACGTGCTTCTCCATCATGGCGGAGAGGACCTTCTCGGCATGACTGTGTCTTTGTTGAGAGGGACCCCATGTTCACTGGGATGCAGGGATTGGATGTTGTCCACATCCTACTGTTTTTTTCTTTCACCTTTCAGGATGTACTCTACCCATGTGCATTAGTGCACTGGTTCTCAAAAGTCCAAGAAGAGCCCAACAACCTCACCGGTATGTGGATGGTCTGTCTGTAAGGAATCAATTTTTCTCATTGCATTCCCATCATGTCGTGGTTATCCGACTCCTTCCCCGTCACTCCTCTCGCCCTCGGACCAGAGATCTCAGCCGGTATTCTATTACTTTTATCTTTCTTCTTCTTCTTTTCCCTTCATACTCCTATTCTATTGTACTTACAACAAAGGAGAGCTGTCATAGATCCTCAAGAAGATATCCGAATGACATAGCAATGATTCTACACTATGTCAGGGAATACTTCGGAGGAATATTAATCAGCGGTCTAAGATGTGACTCAGCGCCTAGTCATGGGCTTACTGACACAGCCAAATCATACATCACTTACCAAGACTCTCTCTCACACCATTAGTAATTATGATAGATCGGACCACTTTTCCTCTCTTTTCTTATTGGTTAGTTATTTGGTCAGACCACTTTCTTACTCTTTCCCTTTCTCGGTCTGACCCTCGCGGTTCACTATATAAGGGGTATATACTCGATGTATTATTCCTTAGTTCAATATTAGTTTGGATTTGCGCCTACATTGATACTCTTCACTATCAATACCCTGATCCACCGCCTTCAAAGGGACTTGGCCAGGCATTTGGTTGTGTTATATAGCTTCTTGTTCGTTGCCTGACACTGTCCAGACTTCAATGAGGACCTATCACCAATAACTGAAGTGATTCACCTTGACTGTATCCTACGAGCCACGCATCTCCTTCCTGTTTTCGGTGACAACAGGATTCCCGGCAGATATTGTTTCATAACTCACTTGATGCTTTTGCATCATTCTATGTCAACAAATTTATTGATCATCACGCTTTTGGATTAGCATCTTAGAATTACCAACTCTTTCTGTATCGAGACTTGTGTTCTGACTTGACCTTACACCGCACTTTTGATAAAACTTCACTTCCTGTTATTCTATCAAAACTGTGAGTAATGACTGAGTAATGCCTGAGTAATGCCCCTCATCAGTAACGCTAGAGTAACACGTCCAGTAACGCACCATTGAGTAATACCACCATTTCCAGATAGGCTTTTTTGACTCTGATTGATCAGTACTCGAGCTAATTAATTCGTCATTGATGTCTGCTATTTTACATATTTTAACTTTTGATGGTCTTGATGGTCTTGAGCTGCATTGGAGCAGTTAGAGTAATTTGAGTGTGCGGTTCTTAGCAAGCTTAACTCTCTTATATGTCTTGATATGTCTTAGTCCTTGTTCTAAGACGGTCTAAGTCTTCAAAGTCACTCAAAGAAAAATGCATCTTGTCTGATGTTTGAAGTTAATGTTCATGTGACCTGCAATAAGCTAAGACTAAATTAGTAAAATATCTGCTTGAAATAGTTTAGAAAGCAATAGTATGACTTTTATCCTTCCTGCTCTATAGGGATGATATTGTAATTGCAACAAAGTGCAAATGACCACATTGTTTACATTTTACTTTGGCTATATGTCACGACTTGAACCAGAAGCGCTAATCTGAGCGCTAATTTCCTTTTTCATTTCTTTGATATCTGATCACATGACAGATAAGATATGTTAAGCTGCTGCTTTAGCGCGGATAACATAATACGTAGTTATATCAGATCACGTGACCACCACGTGACACGAGTCTAGAATTATTACAAAGAACATCAGTCAGCGCCTCATGGCTGACTTTCAGAAACATATATATAGTAGACCATCATGTACATACTTTCCTCAGTTGTTGATTAATTCTCAATCGTTACTTGAAACGCTACTTGTCTGATTAAAAGCTTTTATCCCTCCGTTAACTCGGTATAAGGGATAGAGGTTTTACACTATATCTTTGATGACCACCTCTATGAAAGTTACAAAATGGGTGACAGATGAAGCATGATTGTGTTTGGCTGGATCAAATACAAAATACATGCACTAAAAGCCGTCCCCAGAATGGAGTCAAGGGGAACTTAATGGGATATTCCTAAACTGTGGTAAACCTGCTTAGAATATCCCAAAACACTGTGCAAAATATCCCAGGCTGTTGTGTGTCACATCCCAAAAATCATTTGAGACATCCTAAGGCATGTGTGGGATATTGACTGGGATGTCCCAGATTATCTTTTGGGATGTTCCAGGACATGGTGGGATGTCCCAGGGCATGGTTCAGGATATCCCAGAGTTTGAAATCTTCAAAGGTAAGATTGTATCTCTACAATATAACCAAAAGTTCCCTTGTAAAAAGTCCCACCTCATATGTATTATTGTTTAGGAAGTAAGGCTTCATGATAGGTTGTTTGGGATACATCCTAGATAGTAGCCTGGGATACTGTAACATTTTGATATGAGGTTTGTGGGGGGTCAGGTATGACACCTTGAGGAGGGACTTCATTGATTATTTTTTTTGGATGCCCCTTGGCTGTGTACACTAATGTTACAGTATATAAATATCATACTCATATGAAATCCCACGAATTTCCTCGCAATGTGTATACTTCACGAGATACATAGCTTTAAAATCATCGTGAAAAGAGTCAATCGAACAGTTATGATTCACCGACGAGGAGTAGTGAAAGGGCATCTCGATCCCATGTCCACCATAGAATCAGGCAATACTTTGACCACGATGGTGATATTGAAATTGCATCTCCGTTGCATCAGTGAACGTTGTTGCCTTTTTTTGACGAGTGTTTGCTCGAAGGTGGAGAATGAGGTGACAACCCTGCATCATGTGTGAGGCATCTGATAATTAAAGCAGTCTAGAGAAATACGGACCGAGTAACTATAGAAAGCGGCCAACCAGCTGCATAAATCATTGATCAATGTCAGGGTTGTGTGGATATAGAGGCTATCCACACTTACAACTGAGCTAGATCGACATATGAAAACAATGTTGGACTTCCAGAAGAAAACACGATGTCGGCGGCGTTGGCACCTACGAATATATATTTGTGTAATGCGTAGTTAAAGAAGGAGGACAACGTACCAAGACAAACAAAAAAATACATCAGTCCCTCGGCGACGAATATGGAAAGCACCGACCCCAGACGCACACGTCGAAGAGATCGAATGCTCTGAACAAATTTAAACAATGTCATGCCTATATAAAAGACATTTAAGATCATAAAGGCAATGCTTTGGACGTATATCAGTGATACTGTCGAAGATGATTATGTGGCATACTCACACAGCAGCCTTCGCCACCTTCATTTTGTTCCAGTCGATGTTTAAGACCAGGCAACCAGCCACCATTGAAAACGGTGCAGGCGCTGGAACTGGTCGGGAGAGTCGAAAACAGTAGATCGAGACGGGGATGATCACCTTGGGGGTATGTTAATATTCATTGTGACCTCGAATACAAAGTCCTTACAGCTGCAGCAGCTGTCGCATTTACGTCAGCGATGTGGTCATTATTCATGTGTTATTTCAACGTACATATCCATGTGATTGCCATAAGGTATTGCACTGTGAATCAAATGTTAGAGACTGAAAAGCTACTTTGCGGTTAGTAAAACATACCTTTTCTATTGCTGCCATAAAGAGCATTAATCCGAAGGATCAGAACGAAGTCCACTAGAACCCAAAGAACCAAAGGACCTCTAGGTATCAAGAGCAAAATTAGTTCTGAGGGTCCCTGCAGGAGATGTATGGTATTTACATAGATTGTAGAGCAGGGAAGCTCGTGCATCTACAGCACAGCACAGTATTAAAGATCACATTGTATGCTCTATACCTGGCAGACTCACGTCTCCAAATAATCATGTTAGATCTAGGTTGCACAGAAAACGAGGACAATCGAAACATGCTCACCAAATTTGATAACGCAGTGCCAGGAGATACTACAAGGAAGATTGTTTGAGTGGTTCTACATTGTGCCTCAGCTGAAAAACTGCCCACAGTGTATGATACTTTGATACCTGGGATGACAGAAGTCGTATCAGAAAAATATATATATAAAGCAGTTGATAAGATGTACTGACATCAGCCAAAGAGGAGCATAGTAACGGAGAGACAAGTACAGGACTTTGGGCAATGTCCACCTGGATCTATTTGATGATCAAGTTCCACGAGTCAATTTCAACAATATGTCTGTATCTTAGCACTCACCTCCATACAAGTTCAATCTAAACACCAGAGGAAAGTCGGCTGAGTTTTCTATATATGATACACACAGGGATGTGCATACCTCATCCTCAAAGCATATGATAATATCATACAGCAGCCAAGCAAGACTGGCGACTGGATATAGAGCCCAACTTTTAATGCCAATGGATACATCACTAGAGAGATCTACGCACCGGCATTGGCATTAACCTTGCGATTAATGGTTCCTAAAGCTACGAGGGTGCTGATGAGCGCTTGAGGGTCAGTATCCATGGCACAACGTTGTCGATTTTCAACCAGTCAATGATGGATATGGAAAACGACTCGAAGATAAATGCCAGTGATGGGCTTTAAGTCAGTCCTCAGCTCACCCGAATAGGAATTGCGTGTAAATATCAGCATAGCCATCGCTGACCTGTGACTCTGCACTGATTGAGGACCAACAGTGATGGATACCCAGGGTTTGAAAATACGGACTTTTAGCGTTTGCGACATCAACATTCTATGGGGTATATCAGGAACACTGATGCAGTCATACACATGCTCATAGCATCGAAGCACACACAAGCATAGCCCAGATACGACAGTAATACTTCTATGGGCCTGGCACCCAAATTTAAAGTCACGGTGTCTGTCCTATCAATGAAATTTGCGGATAACCTACTGTATTCAGTGGCAGTACATAAGCCAAGGACATGGTGGTGACTTGGTACTCTGTACTCAATACTGGGCGCCTACGTACACTGTGTCAGCCAGTCATACAATCCAGATAAAACAATAGCTTTCCTCGTACTGTCCAACTGTCGCTCAGTGGACTACGTTCAACGACTCGGCCAGGTTATAATCGGGGGCGAAGAAGTTGACCGCATCGGACGAGGATCGGATTTCGAGACACAGCAAGCCCCTTTTCGTAGGAATTAGAACCAATACATTAGGCTAGAATCATGGTAGTGAGGGATACGTACATGTACGGTCAACATCAGATGGCACGACGAATGATCCGATGCCAGTGAATGCAGGCAAGTGCCCAGGGCAGACATAGTGACTAGTGACTAGTGACTGGCTATAACCGTATTGGAAACAGTCCACAATAGTTGGTTAGCATTATAGGTTGCACGCAGTGTCCAGACTGTCAGACTGATATAGTCTTGGAATGATGAGAAGATAGGCTGAATTTGGAGTCTGGACATCTCAATGTTGTGATCGTACCTGCGCGCTTTCACCAAGGCAGCCCGCGTCTTGTCCGCGGCCTCGTGTGGTTGTCGCCGCCATGGGCTGATTTCCTATCCATTTCCTGTCTCTCATAAGAGCATAATACCCACCCCGAGTCCATCCTGCCAGTGCAAGACAGATCTGTGATGCCTCTCCTGGCACTCCTGGCTATTCCAGTTGCCCTGCTCCTCTTCTCCATTTATCTCTGGCTCGTCAACCGCTCCATAACCACAGTTCCTGCCACGGCCCTCCCCTTCTCTCCTCATCGCTGGACAGTATCAGACATCGAGCAAACAGCCGCACGACTCGAGAAGGACCCTATAAACACCCTTCCGCATCTTCCACCACCCACAGGCAGGCGCTACATAGTCGTCGGTGGCTCAGGTAAGCTCCTGCTCTTTCCACAGCCAGCCACCGCCACCCGCTCATACTCATACCTGCCAAAGGTCTTGTTGGGGGATGGATAGTCCTTCATTTGCTCCAGCGCGGCGAAGATCCCGCTAACATTCGAATCGTCGACATTCGCAGACCAGTGCGAAAGGACATGCTCTCAGGAAAACCCGCCCAAGTGGGTTTTGTTGCAGCTGATGTACAGGACTCGAAATCCGTTGGCGCTGCCTTTGCTGCAGACTGGCCCGATTCAGGTGCTACTTCAGACAAAGGCATCACAGTCTTCCATACCGTCGCTTGCATCCGCTTCTACGAACGCCACTCCTCACTCGTCTCGCGCTCTTCTTCCCTTAACGTCGATGGCACTCGAAATGTTCTCGAAGCAGCACAACAAAATGGCGTAGACATTCTCGTGTACACCTCGTCTGCCAGTATCCCGGTCCCTCGCACACAATACTGGATTTGGCCATGGCAAAGGCACGCAAAAACCTTTGTACAACTCGTCAGAGACGACGTTACTGGTGTTGCGCGCAAGCACAAGGACTGCTTCTCAAATTACTCTTACACCAAGGCTCTGGCCGAAAAGCTAGTATGTGATGCTGATAGTCCGAGTAAAGGATTCAGGACCGGATGCGTCCGACCTGGCAACGCTATATTTGGTCCGGGCGGTGACCTGAACGCTGGAGCTTATCTGGTTCGTGGTATGAACCCATCGTGAGTTGAGCCCATCATCCCTTGTTAGATATCATTGACACGATCTTTCCCACTAGATGGGCAGCTCCTATGATACAGTCGTTTACTTACGTAGAAAATGCCTCTTACGCCCATTTACTCTACGAACAGCGACTGTTAGAAAATCAGTCATCTCCCGGTCCGTCGCATCCAGATGTTGGAGGAAAGGCTTTCGCTATCACGGATCGAGGAAATCCTATTTCTTATGGTGACTTGTATCTCGCCCTCAGTACTCTCACCGGAGGCAAAGTCCAGTTCCCATCTCTACCACCTGCTCCTTTGCTTTTCCTTGCAACGCTGATTGAATGGTATTACATTGCGCAGAGCTACGTTCCTCGTCTTTTGCCAGCTGTGCAGGGTGATCTACGAAATCTGCAGCCCGCCATGTTTTCCCTCGTCACCATCCACATGAAAGTAGATGATTCAAAGGCCCAACAGTTGCCACAAAATGGTGGGCTAGGCTACCAACCGCCTTTTTCAACTCTGGAAGGTGTCTGCCACCTCGTTGAGGATCACTTGAAGAACGTTGATTATGGTCAAGAGCATCAAAGGACGGGCGGTGGGATAACACTTGGTTTCCGAGCGAAGAATTAAGAGGTGTTGCTCTTGTTTTCAAGTTGGGTCACGGCATTGTGCTTTGAGGTTGTTCGGGTTACTTGTATCGAGAAATCAGCGGTGGCGCCCATGTAATGAGACCTTGCCCCCAAAATTACTACTACTGACACAATATATACTTTGAATTTGGAATCTGCCACAAAGACAGAATGGCGGTGTGTCCAATTGACGGAGCTTTGTTTGCCTCCGACTTCAAAGTCCGCCACGTCCAAGAATCTGAATAAGGAAATCCAAGTAGTCACACACAGCATCTTGTGCACCGATCCAGTTTCGCATCGTGTATCTATGTCCGTCGCTGATTTCAAAGAGTTCTCAGCTACTCTCGGCCAGACTTCTCTGATTAATAGGGCGTCACTGGTGTCAGTTTTCTGATTGCGGCCTTGTGCGAACCACGTTGGTGTCTCACACCCCTCGTACGATGCGCTGTTCACGGTATAGATAAATCTGGCTTGAGCGCCAGCCTTCTTAAGGGAAGTGGCATGATTTGGTCGTGTCTGCCAACCTACTTGTAGGAGGCTGTCGTTCAAGCTCTCCAGCCAAAGTCATCCCAGTACCGTAATTCTCTATGAGTGGTGAGGACCCCTCCAAAGTAGATACGATGCCCCCGGTGTCCGTCTTAGGCCTTTTTCGGTGAGTGACCTTTCGAGCCGAACATGCAGTCAACAAAGATACTCGATTTTACAGGTTTGCAACAAAATTCGAACTCATGCTGAACTTCCTTGGTGTGATTGCTAGTACTGGTGCCGGTGGTGCTACGGTAAGATTGGATATCACACTATCACTACGCTCGTGTTTTTGTTCAATATGCCCTTGTCGTATTTTAGCCCATTATGACTCTTTTCCTAGGTAACCTCATCGAAAGCTTTGTAAACATTTCGCAAACCAAGTCCTTATCGGCGTCTGAGGCTGCATCATTCATCGAGCAATTTCGTCAGAAGGCAACGCAAGATGCGCTGAACCTCGTTTATCTGGGTCTGGATACTCATGTGCATTTATTATCATAAATATCTGATGATCTTTTCAGGTATAGCCATGTTTCTTGCGACCTATATATCAGTGACAATCTGGACGTACACGGGAGAGGTCATCGCAAAACGAATTCGAGAGAGCTACTTTAGAGCTATACTTCATCAGGACCTCTCATTTTTCGATGATATTTCGGCTGGAGAAGTAGCTGCGCAAATTGAGGTTGATGCGCATTTGGTTCAGCAAGGCATCTCTGAGAAGTTTGCCCTTCTGGGCAGTAATGTCGGTGCTTTTGCTACGGGCATGATTATCGCATATATCAAATCATGGCGTCTTGCCCTTGCATTGACATCTATGCTTCCTTGCCTTGTCATTATAGGAGCGCTCATGGCAATTCTATGTTCGCGTTGTGCACAGTTCGTGCAGTGATTTCCTCTTCTGTAGCCTCAACTCAAGCATAACTCTTAATTTCAGGGCATCGCTCAGTCATCTTTCTAAAGCAGGAGGCATCGCTCAGGAGTCACTTTCAACGATTCGCATTATACACGCTTTCGGCGCAGAAATAAAGATATCAACAGTCTACGACCAGTTGATTCGCTTATCCCAAGTATCTGACTTGAAATTATCCAAAATTCAAGGTGTCGGAATGGCAATCTTCTCGTTTGTCGTCTATTCTTCGTACTCCCTATCCTTTTATTATGGAACCACTTTGATCCAACAAGGGCGAGGTGAGTAGCTTGCTTTAATGGTTCGTTATGCTATTTTAAGCCAATTCACAAGCCAATGCCGGTACTGTTGTCACTGTGGGATTGTGTATCCTTATTGGTTCCTTTTCTCTTGGAATTGCTGGACCCAATGCACAAGGTTTGATCTCATTCTGTATTTGAGTCACCCTTCCTGAGACGTTTCGTCCAGTTGTTATGCGGGCTCGAGACGCTGCTGCTCAACTTTATAGAGTTATCGACCATACTCCAATGATTGACTCAAGAAAAGAAAACGGCCAGAAATTGACATCTGTTCAAGGAGAAATTGTGTTGAAGAACATCGATTTCAGCTATCCCTCTCGCAGAAATGTCCCTGTTCTCAAATATTTAAGCCTTACCTTTCCGGCTGGGAAACGGTCTGCTCTCGTAGGACATTCCGGGTCCGGAAAATCGACGATTGTAGGACTACTCGAACGATTTTACGACCCAGACGCCGGGAGCGTGTTCCTTGATGGCGTTGACCTGTGCGATCTTCATATAAAGTGGCTACGCTCTCAAATTGGCCTTGTGGCACAGGAACCTGTCCTATTCGCCATCAGCGTTCGCGAAAACATCGAACAAGGTTTGTTGAATACAGCACATGAACATTCTTCCCGGGAAATTCGATGGGCGCTCGTGCAGGATGCCTGCATCAAGGCTTACGCTCACGATTTTATCATGTTGCTACCGGAGGGTTACGATACCATGGTTGGTGACGGCGGGTTTCGTTTATCTGGTGGCCAGAAACAGCGCATTGCTATCGCTAGGGCTATTGTATCAGATCCCAGAATCTTGCTACTAGACGAGGCTACTAGTGCATTGGATACACAGTCTGAAGGGATTGTACAGGCTGCTTTGAACAAAGCATCCGAAGGTATGTTTCCAAATACCACCAACCAACTGCTTGTTTTGTACTGATGTAATACAGGCCGTACCACAATTACAATTGCTCATCGTCTGTCTACGGTCAAAGATTCCGATGTCATCTATGTGCTAAGCAACGGCTCCCTTGTCGAAAGCGGTACACATGAAGAACTACTTTGCGACGATCATGGCGCATATACCCAGCTAGTTCGTGCTCAACACTTGGATCAAGACGATGCTAGCGTTTCTCAAAGTCTAGACATCGACGCTGAGGAGACGAAGGGGCATACCAGAACGTCTTTTGTGAACAAAGATATTGATATCTCAAACGAGGAAGATTTGAAGAGTACCTTGACCCATCCCAGCACGGATGAACTGGACCGCGCAGGCCGTTTTACCTTAGCTTTTAAGTTGGCTTCTCTTATACCACACACTCGCATGATCTATGTGTGTGGCACCTTTTTTGGTATCTGTGAGTGTCAGATCGAGGCTTTCTGCCAGTGCTAGACCTGGACTGGATTTAAAATTTACTTTTTTTTATTAGTGGGTGGACTGGTACATCCTGGTTTTGGAATTGTCTACGGTCAGTGGTACATTATCTATCATAGTTTCTCATTTTTAATACATCCCGTAATAGCTAAAGCTCTTCAAACATATCAAAACACTGGTAGTCCAGACTTCAGAACCCAGGGTATGATTTGGTCCATCCTCCCATTACTACTAAATTGATCTATCATTTAATAGGTGACCGAAATGCCCTGTGGCTTTTTATTATAGCCATATGCTCTACCTTATCGTTGGCAATGCATAACGTCTTGTTTGGGAAAGGTGCTGCCATTCTTACTACAAAGCTCAGATTACTAGCTTTCCAAGGACTGCTGCACCAAGAGAGTGAGTAAGCCTTATGTCCAAAAGCCTTCGGTTTACTAATTCATAATTTAGTTTCTTTCTTTGATAAAGACTCGAATAACCCGGGTGTCCTAACGGCGAATTTGGTTGGTGGCCCCGAGAAGACAAATGGTTTTGTCGCAATGACTCTTGGCGCCGTTCTGCAATGCATTTCCTGTTGCATTGGCGGGTCAATAATTGGGCTTATCTTTGGGTGGAAATTAGCTCTTGTGGGAATAGGTTAGTTGTAATATTTTGAGCCCTTTTACCTCTGATTCCCCTGTGCATTTTAGCATGTATGCCACCCATCGTTACTTTGGGTTTAATCCGACTCCAGTTAGTTGCAAATAAAGAGAAAGCCAGCAAAGCATCTCACGATGAATCTGCTCAAATTGCTTGTGAAGCTGCAGTATCCATCAGGACCGTAGCTGCACTCACTCGCGAGGACCATACATGCTCATTGTACAGTGACGCATTGAAAGCACCGCTTCGGCAATCTGTCAAAGCGGGGATTGTTAGCAATGCTATCTTTGCGATGTCTATATCTGTCATTGTTTTTGTCGTTGCATTGGTTTTCTGGTACGGATCAGGTCTCGTTACTACTGGGGAGTATACGACGTTCCAATTTTATGTTGTTTTTATGGTATGGCCTCTGAAATCAACGCACATATATGCTCTAATAGATGAACGACAGAGCACCGTATTTGGCTCATGGAATGCAGCCAACGTGTTTACGTCTGTTCCAGACATTACCTCTGCTGCAGATGCTGCTCGTGACATTCTGAAAATCATGAAGACGAGCAAATCCAACATCGTCACCAATGATGAAAAGGCCGTATCGTCAAGAATGTTCGAAAATGTACAAGGAGGTGTTCATTTTCAAGATGTGTCCTTCTGCTATCCTACGAGGCCCGAGGTTTCTGTACTCCGCGGTATCAACCTATCTATCAAACCAGGAGCCTATACCGCATTCGTAGGAGCAAGTGGTTCAGGCAAGAGTACCATGTGTGTTTGTTATCCGGCTATGTGATTTTCTATCTTTGATAAATTCTTCTTGCAGAATTCAACTGATCGAACGATTCTATGAACCGACTTCTGGGTCCATTTATGTGAGTATAGATGTAGATGTTATATAATAGTCTACTGATGATAATCATCATTCATTTATTCAGTTTGATGAAAATTGTTTGTCGGCGCTAGATGTCAACGAATACCGCAAACACGTTGCATTAGTATCACAGGAATCTGTGCGTAGTTCATTCCACTTTTTCTATTTCTACACTTCAACAATATTGTCTGCAGAAATTATACAGCGGTACCATCCGGTTCAATATCTTGCTTGGCTCCACAGGTGCTATGGCCAACATATCCGATGAAGAAATCAAACGAGCATGCAGCATCGCGAATATCCTTGATTTTATAGAATCACTGCCCAAGTACACATTTTCCATAAATTGTCTGATTGCTACTTATCAAAGGATACAGTGGTTTCGAGACAGAAGTAGGCGAACGAGGCTCCCAGCTTTCTGGCGGTCAGAAACGTTCGTCTCCCTACACCTTATTATCGCTACTTGGTTTCTAACTTTTGGCTCCTATCATCCAGAACGTATTGCTATAGCACGCGCATTAATTCGGAACCCCAAGCTTCTACTGTTAGATGAGGCAAGTCCCTGATGAACGTGTCTGAGACTATTAACTGACAAGTGTTTTGAAGGCAACGTCTGCTCTTGATGCAAATTCGGAGGTCGCAGTTCAGGAAGCACTCAACAATGCAGCAAAGGGTAGAACAACGATTGCTATAGCCCACAAGTTGGCTACTGTCCAGCATGCTGATCATATGTATGTCGTATATGCCATCTATATTTTATCGTTTCTAATCATGGCGGGATAGTTATTTCATAAAGGACGGGAAGGTGAACGAGATGGGAACTCATGGTCAACTCATGGCTCGTCGTGGCGGGTATTGGCAGTTTGCAAAACTTCAAGAGTTGGAAAAATAGAATTCACTATATCGCTCTCTAGGGTAAAGTTCATCTTGACAACGTCGTCATTACTGTAGATGATACTATATCGATCCACTATACTAATTAGGTCAGCAAGGGAGATAATGATACTGTCATCATATCATCGCCCGCCTGGGTTTACCTGAGTAATATTAAAAACTTACTAGCTTTGGGACGTGGCGTGGTCCAGAACCTCGCCTTAGGAGATTCAAGGACGCACAGTGTTGCCTGAGCGAATGCGTTCCGAATTAAAAATATTCTCGAGGCCATCATCCCAGCTAAGTGATGATCATGGTAGTTGTGCCCAAAGTCTTGTTGAAACTTGGGCGTTCTGGAACAGTTTTAAAACATCAGGGTAGACTGATCGTCAACTTGAACTTGAACGGCTAGAACCAAACAACGCAGTCGAGCAAGCGATTGCCAATGTCCTTCGTGCCACGATCAGAAAGATTCCAAATTCAAAGTATATATTGTGTCAGTAGTAGTAATTTTGGGGGCAAGGTCTCATTACATGGGCGCCACCGCTGATTTCTCGATACAAGTAACCCGAACAACCTCAAAGCACAATGCCGTGACCCAACTTGAAAACAAGAGCAACACCTCTTAATTCTTCGCTCGGAAACCAAGTGTTATCCCACCGCCCGTCCTTTGATGCTCTTGACCATAATCAACGTTCTTCAAGTGATCCTCAACGAGGTGGCAGACACCTTCCAGAGTTGAAAAAGGCGGTTGGTAGCCTAGCCCACCATTTTGTGGCAACTGTTGGGCCTTTGAATCATCTACTTTCATGTGGATGGTGACGAGGGAAAACATGGCGGGCTGCAGATTTCGTAGATCACCCTGCACAGCTGGCAAAAGACGAGGAACGTAGCTCTGCGCAATGTAATACCATTCAATCAGCGTTGCAAGGAAAAGCAAAGGAGCAGGTGGTAGAGATGGGAACTGGACTTTGCCTCCGGTGAGAGTACTGAGGGCGAGATACAAGTCACCATAAGAAATAGGATTTCCTCGATCCGTGATAGCGAAAGCCTTTCCTCCAACATCTGGATGCGACGGACCGGGAGATGACTGATTTTCTAACAGTCGCTGTTCGTAGAGTAAATGGGCGTAAGAGGCATTTTCTACGTAAGTAAACGACTGTATCATAGGAGCTGCCCATCTAGTGGGAAAGATCGTGTCAATGATATCTAACAAGGGATGATGGGCTCAACTCACGATGGGTTCATACCACGAACCAGATAAGCTCCAGCGTTCAGGTCACCGCCCGGACCAAATATAGCGTTGCCAGGTCGGACGCATCCGGTCCTGAATCCTTTACTCGGACTATCAGCATCACATACTAGCTTTTCGGCCAGAGCCTTGGTGTAAGAGTAATTTGAGAAGCAGTCCTTGTGCTTGCGCGCAACACCAGTAACGTCGTCTCTGACGAGTTGTACAAAGGTTTTTGCGTGCCTTTGCCATGGCCAAATCCAGTATTGTGTGCGAGGGACCGGGATACTGGCAGACGAGGTGTACACGAGAATGTCTACGCCATTTTGTTGTGCTGCTTCGAGAACATTTCGAGTGCCATCGACGTTAAGGGAAGAAGAGCGCGAGACGAGTGAGGAGTGGCGTTCGTAGAAGCGGATGCAAGCGACGGTATGGAAGACTGTGATGCCTTTGTCTGAAGTAGCACCTGAATCGGGCCAGTCTGCAGCAAAGGCAGCGCCAACGGATTTCGAGTCCTGTACATCAGCTGCAACAAAACCCACTTGGGCGGGTTTTCCTGAGAGCATGTCCTTTCGCACTGGTCTGCGAATGTCGACGATTCGAATGTTAGCGGGATCTTCGCCGCGCTGGAGCAAATGAAGGACTATCCATCCCCCAACAAGACCTTTGGCAGGTATGAGTATGAGCGGGTGGCGGTGGCTGGCTGTGGAAAGAGCAGGAGCTTACCTGAGCCACCGACGACTATGTAGCGCCTGCCTGTGGGTGGTGGAAGATGCGGAAGGGTGTTTATAGGGTCCTTCTCGAGTCGTGCGGCTGTTTGCTCGATGTCTGATACTGTCCAGCGATGAGGAGAGAAGGGGAGGGCCGTGGCAGGAACTGTGGTTATGGAGCGGTTGACGAGCCAGAGATAAATGGAGAAGAGGAGCAGGGCAACTGGAATAGCCAGGAGTGCCAGGAGAGGCATCACAGATCTGTCTTGCACTGGCAGGATGGACTCGGGGTGGGTATTATGCTCTTATGAGAGACAGGAAATGGATAGGAAATCAGCCCATGGCGGCGACAACCACACGAGGCCGCGGACAAGACGCGGGCTGCCTTGGTGAAAGCGCGCAGGTACGATCACAACATTGAGATGTCCAGACTCCAAATTCAGCCTATCTTCTCATCATTCCAAGACTATATCAGTCTGACAGTCTGGACACTGCGTGCAACCTATAATGCTAACCAACTATTGTGGACTGTTTCCAATACGGTTATAGCCAGTCACTAGTCACTAGTCACTATGTCTGCCCTGGGCACTTGCCTGCATTCACTGGCATCGGATCATTCGTCGTGCCATCTGATGTTGACCGTACATGTACGTATCCCTCACTACCATGATTCTAGCCTAATGTATTGGTTCTAATTCCTACGAAAAGGGGCTTGCTGTGTCTCGAAATCCGATCCTCGTCCGATGCGGTCAACTTCTTCGCCCCCGATTGTAACCTCAGCGACTACGTCCTCGTATTGTCTCAATGCTGTAAAAGCGAACACATCCTCCAATTACCTGAGCTGGAGGTAGAATTCAAGCTTATTCAAGTCCTGAATTAGCCGTTGTCAAGTCATTTTGCAGATTTACGATCACAGCATTGGCATGTCCAGATTTCCAATTTAGCCCATATTCTCATCATTCTACGACACTATCAGATTTCAGTCACAATTTGGTAGTCGTGCCTCAGACCTCAGGCCTTAGTTGTAAATACATAATGTATGATGGTCACGCCCGTGCTATCATGGTTATGTGCCCATATGCATGTCACGGTACAGCAATCACTTCACACTACCCGCCCATATATATGTTCTTTCTACACCCCCAGTGGTGAGTCGTACAGTCTTTCCCATCTCAAATATGCTACCTTTTATCATCGCCTTACTTGCGTTCCTTTGCGTTTGTGTTTTACTCTCTCAGCGGATCCCTAGGACACTGTGTGTGCGTCCTCCTTTTCTTCGTAGAATTCCAGTAACCCACGAATCTTACTTACTGGCATGTTATTTAGATTGGGATCCCTGCCGTTGGTTTTTCTGGGCCATTTTCATCCTGGCTAGGAGCCATCCAGCTGTGGCTAGATTCGCCCCGTTTGTTACGGAAAGGTCACAGAAATGTAAATTTTACTTCTACTCTAATACTATCACCCAACGGAGCCATCTCCTGCTCGCATCTCTCTGCAGAATCCAGGAAGGGCCTTTCAACTTCCGCATGCTGATCGGTGGGTGGTGTACGTGACAGATCCCCAACTCGTCAAAGAGATTTCTACGATTCCACCTAATCGCCTTTCTCTTCTTGAGGCTTCAAATGACGTGAGTTTTCTTGTTCTGGTCATAGTCTGATTTCTTATGTCATTTAATAAGATGCTTCAAGCACCCTATACTGGAATCCATCAAGAGCAACAGATCATTGATATCATCAAATACCGCCTCGTCCGAAGTTGGACCTCTATCGTGCCAACGGTATATGAAGAGGCTGCGGAAGCCCTCTCTCAATATATCCCCTCCACAACAGGTGCTTTGCTAATCAATTATCTCTTATGCCTGCTAATATGTCGGCGATCTCCAGAATGGACAGCAGTTCCTGCTTTTGCTACAGTGTCAGATGTAACTTCTCGTATTGCTGCTCGCATGTTCGTCGGCCTCCCAAAAGGTAAGTGCGACAATGTTATCCTCTTTCGGTTGACTAACGTCACTTATTTGAGCTCACGACATGGAATATACCCGTTTATCCGCTGAGTGGGCACACGGTGTGATCAACGCTGGCGTTGTTCTAAATATGTTTCCCAAGATACTAAGACCGTAAGTGGCAGCGTTACCATACCTCGATATATACCAATATCCCCCTTCTAGCCTCGTATGCTGGATACATAACCCGCCAGCTCACACGCTAAAGCTCGTTTTCAAAAACATTGCTTCTCTGATCGAAGAGCGCAAGAGCCTCCTGGCGACAAAAGACTTGGAAAAGAGCGACAGACATGTGTGTTTCTCCGCTAGTCTCAGTTGTTCAGTTGTCGTGTTTTACTAAGCGGCCGACACAGAATGACCTTCTGTCTTGGCTTATTCAGGGGGACACGGCAAATGCAATGGATCCACTCTTGATTACCCGAAAACTCCTATCAGTTAATTTTGCTACCATCCATACCTTGTCAAGCGTACTTAACTCCTTTCCTTCGCAATTTTTCATCCATCTAACAAGTTATCACCTTAGGTCGGAACACATGTCCTTTACTACCTCGCTGCGCATCCAGAGTATGTCGAACCATTAAGAGCAGAGATAACTAGCGCACTAGGGCAAGGACACGGAATAAAACATGCACTCGACCATATGTACACGTTAGAAAGCTTCTTAAAGGAATCTTTACGGTTGAGTCCTGTCAGCGCAGGCAAGTTCCCCCTTGTATAGTCATTATAATTCTTTGAACCAGTTTTAATTTTATAGTATCTATGCTTCGCAAAGCAATTCAACCTATCACGCTATCTGATGGATCTCATCTTCCAATCGGGACTCTACTGATGGTGTCCCCTCTGCCTGTACACATGAGCTCAGAATTGTACGAGGATGCAGAAGTATTTGATGGTTTCCGGTTCCACAAAGCAGAGTCCCAATCGCCAAACCAGATGGCTATTCCCTCTCTTGACTATTTCCCTTTTGGATATGGCTCACTTGCGTGGTAAGCCGTTCACCAGTCCTTCAGTGTTTTAGTTTTTCTAGTGTGCTGAACTCATAAATCATTTAGCCCTGGGCGTCTCATAGCTGTCAGCTTACTCAAAGTATTGTTAACACACATATTATTAGGCTATGACATCAAGTTACAAGGCGACACACGGCCCGCTGATAAATGGATAGGCACACTCTGCTTTCCTAACGACTTGGCTAAGATATTTTTTAGAAAACGTGTTAAACAGTGAGCTGGACCTTGATCTGTTACTGAAGTATATGGAGACCGATTTCCACTGGCAATAGCAGCCTATGAATGCTGTTATCGTGTATCTCACGCATTCTATCACTATGTATACAATCAAGGACGTGTTGATGTAACATCATGATTTCGCACCAGGGGATTTCTGTCATGATGGATTTACGCACCTTTGGCAGATAGGTTCCCGTGTATTACTTTCAGGCGTGATGAGCTTATCAATAAGTCGAGTATAAACATACTGTTATGGAGTGTTTCCAATACGGTTACAGTTTACAGGTTTGTTGCAAGTGCCTCCTATCTCAGGGTAATGATTCTAGCATTATTTGATGATTTTAAAACCATGTACCCCACTAAAATGCACGGATTGCAAGGAAATTCAGCGGGGTTCTATATGAGTATCATGTCCATATACTGTAATATCACCAAGCAGAAAGATCTAGACGTAGTCGGAGGTATCATCTGCCGAATCCCAAAACTCAAATCTACTCAAGGGGTCATTTTGTCCACTTCTTGTATCCTCCCGTCAAGCAGCTTTAACAATGTACCAATCCCCATCAACACACCCTGGTCTGGCCCATGACCAGGCATCAGTCGTGTGTGCGCAAAATCAATCAGCTTGACGGTATAGGGAGGCACAGGTAGATCCTCTTCCTCATCTTCGTCCTCGATATCTTCGTCTTCCCCATCGTTATCCTCCCCCGCTGTAATCTCCACGTCATTCTCGGCTTCCATTTCCTCAGAGTCATTCTCCAACTCATACAGCTTAACGGCCTCTTCTGCTCTCGTCCAATCCGACTCATATACGATTAATAAACTCCCACCTATCATCCGCATATCCACGCCTTCCAAAGTCTCCCTTATTTCTGCGACATCTTCACGCAGACTGCGGAGAATAGGGAGAAGGAGGTGGCGGGGAAGACCAGCAGACGGAGTAGACGGCGAAGATACAGGGAAAAATCTTGCAATACCCTCTGAAAGTTGACTGGACTTTATGCTATTTCCATACTCTTTTCGCGTCAAGATGGGATCAGGTGAATCGTTCGTATAAACCTGGAGATCCCGATTATGAGTGGTAGCAGTAGAAGTACCAGACCGCTCAAACCTGGAAACCAGTGAGCCTAACTCCAGTCTCGAATGATGTCGTCTCTAGAGCAGCCTTCTCCATCCGTGCACGCTTCTCGGGAGTGGCGGAATCCTCATAGAATATGGTACCAAGCTTGATGTCAATGACGCTGGGTTTTGTGAATCCATGAACAAGGTTCTCTAGGACGAGGGACTGTGTAGTTCAAACGGAAGACGAAATAAAGATAAATAAACGGGTTTTCGATTAGATCTTTGATTGTAGCTGATACTCATCTTTATCTTCGGCTCTGACACCATCTATTGGTGTAACTTTCAGGACACCCTCATCAGTTACGAGAGGTTCGTCTATCTCTGTAGTTTCCACTTTCCCTTCCAACCTGAGTGTTCCAAAGAATTTTGGTACGAACGGTCTTAGGTGGACGAGACCTGATTCGGAAACAACACGCTGGTAAAATTCAATTTCAAGTGGCACGGCAGGTTTGAGTAGCAAAGACCCATCCTCTGTTGTTTGGACGCCAGGATGACCACCGACCTGCGCAGCCAGTGGAATCATTGAGAGTGTTGTGTGGGCACCTAGATGGTGAAGAACAAAGCGTTACTAGCACTTGGATAACGAACCCTGTAGTACCCCAAGCATTTAAGTTACGGCGGTGGCTCAGAGTCTGACTATGGCAGTTGATATACCAGCCAAAGACCGCGATCACAGCAAACAAGCTATCTGATGAGCGAATCCAAAACTTTATTGTCTGATAAACGTTAAAAGGAACAATGATACAAAAAAGTGCACAACTGATAAGTTACGATATATCTACTTTTTTCTTGCAGACTTGTTGTCACTTGAACATTTCTCATGTTTAGCGTGGTAGCAGCATTTCTCCCATTTTCTATGCACACCGTCATACAGGCTGAGTGCTCTTCTGCAATCCCAATGCTGATTCTGGAATATCAGAGAAAAATCGCGGCCGCTGCCACGGATTCTACAATCGAGAGCAAAATGCTGTGATAGGAGTATGCATTAGGATAGCAATGGTTGGGAGAGGAGATATCGCCGCGGGCTATAATAGAGTCATATAATGCATCCCAACAGACTTCCCAGGGAGCATGTATCTTGGGCCGATACCACGATTCTAAGAACCGATTTCAAAATAAACCACTGGATGGCGGCCACCCGCTCGAAGCGAGATGTAACAGCCTAAGGGAGCTTCAATAAAATGGCCTTCCTGCGGTATTCACTGGGGATGTCATCAAGCACTGGAACGGACGCAGTGATGGTGGGAAGTGCCGCTAGATAGGTCCTCGTAGATCCGTGAGGTCATGTCCAGGCTGTTGACATAAGGACAACAGAATGTAAGAAGGCGAGAAGCTCTTTGTATTTCGTAGAGTCCACCATAGGACACAACGCCCCTGAAAGACCGTAAATGGATTTTCTTAAAAATAAAAATAGAAAAAAAGACGAAAATCCTTGTCCTCATCCTCGTATTTTGGATGTATCGGAATTCAGTAAATTGGCATGACTGTACAATTTGAGATCAGAGGTCATCAGCAAAGCAGCGTAATCAAGAGTAATGGTGCATCGCACCTTGAAGGTACCCGCGGCGATATCGCACCGAACCGGGAAATAATACACCGCTTAAGAAACATAGCATAAAAGACAGACATGCACATGCCTCAGCCAGCAGGTGCCAACTTAAGGAACCCAGTTCTAGTCTATCCGCGAATAGGAAGGCGATGCTAACAGTGTGTAATCCTCGAGGAGGCTATGCATTTCGAAAGCGAGGCCAATACAGAGTATTTCGTTGGACAAGGACAGAACCACGTCAAACTCGAGGTGTTTCCCCAGGGATATGATCATGAAATTTCTACGAACTGACGTGCTGCACAGTACACCTATGATGGCGAATAAAGAAACAATGCTGCAGTGGCGACCTGTAATACGATATCAATCTGAAATATGTGGGTTGTGAGCCACCTCGACAATTTGCAGTAGCATGAACCAGGCTTGGAATAGGAATAACAGCTTCTTGTGGATAAGCCGCATACTGGCTTACATAACCGCAGGATTCCAAGATGCGCTGAATGTGGAACGCAGAACACTGACTTGATAGCGACGGACAAAGCCCTCTGGAAGCTTTTGTCTTCCTTGAAGCACCTAGAAGAAATCAGCTAAATTGATACCAAAGAATGTCTTCTGACATTTCTAACACAATCACAAACCTCGCCGTGACCTTTTCGTCCACATCGCCATTTCTCAGCAACCCATCGCTACTCCCACGCACACATCACATTCTCGGTAATTTGCAGCATGTTGGGCCTGTCGGTCCAGGAGCAATGGCGGACGTACATATGTTTGCAATCGCAGAGGTTGACAGAACAGAGGTGGTGGACGTGCTAAAGGCGCAGGACGGCGTGTTGAGGGTTGACGTTCTCGAGAAAAAAAGGCGCGCAAAGAGGGATGAGTTTTAAGTGGCGTCAGTGGAAAGCATCACCACGCTTGTCTTCCTTAACACACGACTTGAATGCTTTTCTTTCCAATTCACCACGACCTACTTATCAAAGATTTTCTGTGAAACGTATGAAGAAGCGTATGATAAAAACTTTAGAAACTCTCATGAAGCCTTTTCCACCGGCATACGGTTTCTTAGTAACCGGTGCTAACATAGAACACCAATTGGCCTGGTATCTCACTCTGAACCATCTGTGAGCTGCTCACCAGTCCCAGCCAACTTTCAAACTACCTACTGAGTTATCGGTATCAGAACACTCCAATCGTAATCATGTCTAATCTAGTTCTAGGTAAGTCGTGTTGGGCTGTACTTTCGTGTTTATGAGGCTGACTGTCAACTATCTGCCCGGACCACGTTGCAGATCTCTCTGTTGCGACTCTGTTCAGCGTGAAAGGAAAGATAGGCAAGCTGATGATTTCATTGTTCATGTCCGTATGTGTCTGAAATTCGGCACAAGCTCTCGTCACCGGTGGAGGTACTGGAATAGGAAAAGCCATAGCCACCGCATTGGTCCAGAACGGGGCCAAAGTGTATATCGCTGCAAGGAAAGAAGCTCAGTTGAAAGAAGTACAGTGGTTTCAACGTCATAATACAACGGATATATTTGGCTTATTGCGTTTCCCAATTCTTAGACTGCAGAGGAGCTGAACAAGCTCAGCCCCGGAAGCGTTCAGTACTTCGTTGCAAACATTGGTGTAAGTCTATTCATCAATTCGCGAGATGTATCAAATTCATAGCAGTCGTGTTTCCCATCCAGTCGAAAGCGGGTTGTGATGCTCTCATTGGCGAAATCAAAAAGCGTGAAACAAGCCTTCACATCTTGGTGAACAACTCGGGCATATCATGGGGTGCACCATACGACAATTTCCCAGAGGAGAAGGGGTGGGATAATGTCATGGCTGTCAACGTGAAGAGCATATTCTATAGTAAGCTCTCAATTCTCCAGGAGTTCTTCCTACCAGTTCCTCACAGCTGCCTAATCTAGTGACCTCTGGGCGAGTTTACTCTCCATCGTCATCTCACGTTTACTGTGACTAACAACTACTGATCCCTCATTTATCAGCTTGACCGACTTACTCGGGAAAGATGCGACGCCATTGGATCCTGGCAGAGTCATCAACATATCCTCTGTCGCTTCTGTAAATCCACGAGTAGAAGGTAGCGTAGTTAGTGCTTCAGGTAGTGGCACCTACAGTTGTATGTATTCCCACCTCACACTACACAAGTCTCTACCTTACATTCATGTATTTAGACAATGTCAGTAAAGCCGCAGGTGAGTGACATAACATCATCTTCGCGCAGTACTCATCCCATACAGTGAACCACCTCACTTCTATTCTCGCTGTTAAGCTGGCACCTAGAAAAATAACGTGTGTAACATAATCCTATATGTAGTGCCCATCATTTAATCCAAAATGTAGCGTCAACGCCATATGTCCTGGGTAGGTTTCGGCTCACGTTACCTAGATAACGCACTAACGAGAACCCATTGGCGGCAATAAGGATTTTCCCCACCAAAATGACTGCATACGGTTTTAAGCAAGCAGGTGCAGACCAAATTGCATCCTCGCAACCAACTGGTATATTTTGTCCATGAATCATCTTCAGTGACGAATCTCACTCGTTCTATCATATTCAGGCCGTGTTGGTATTCCTCAGGATTTGGCCGGAATTTCTCTTTTCCATGATGGGTCTCACTTTTACACGTCCCAGACTCCAAGTGACACGCACCAGAGAGCCACTATGTGTCGTGGAGAGGTTGCACCACAGGCGAAGTTGTAGTGTCGTATGAATTATGGAACTAATTCATGGTGAAGATACTATATGGAGTGTACCGAATATTTGTGAGCCTGTGAAGTCAGTAAGCTTGAGGTAAAGTATCAAATCATCCGATCACGGCTTTATTATGCAAAAATAGTCAATACAGCAGCATTCCTCATAAGGCAATAAGTATCAAAACACATGGATGATAGACCACAAAGTAGGGAAAGGCCCAGGCGGTCCATTAGTTTGTCTGTCGGTGGTGGTATCTTGGTGGCGACACAGAGTTTCACAACCCATTGTCAAAAAGTTCATTTTCGCCTTCGTCAATTACAGATACATTTGCAGAATTCGGCGTTAGGTTGAGCCGCAGTCCGTCAGGAACCATGTTGAGCGCATAGCCAGTATCTGTATTGATCGCCGAGATCCATGGCGTTCCATTCGGGATTGTGTTCATGTTTCTCCATTTACCGGTCCTAGCGCAGTTATTCGCCTGTTCCAAGATTGTCCTGTACATAGGGTTGCTGAATCCCACACATTGTAAGCCGATGCATGCGACTTTCAAAGCCCCGGCTGCGTAAAGTTGAGCAATTTCGTATAAGTTTTGAGGTGAAACGTTCTTCCGGCTTGCCGTGGTTTCCTTGATTATCGCTTGAGTCGTCTGGTTGTATGAGGATTGGAAGACGAAGTGTAATAGTTATATATTTGACATACTTCGGGGGACAAGACATCCCATTCTTTCGTGCTGAGGTCTTCCATCCTAAAGGCTTTGTATACACCAGCGTAGTACCATTTCCCGTCCTTATTATAAAAACATTCTGAAAAAGGAGTTATTATATAGCATCAAATCCAGCATGAACGCGTTGTCCAAATGTCAACCACTCCTTACCAGTAGGTTTGACCATTTTTCCGATAACATCTACGGCAGCCCAACGATGAGCGGTGATAACACGTGGATTGGTGCTACATTTGAAAACTGGAGTAAGAAGGTATCCATGTTCTTCTCTTTCAGGACACCAGTGCGTCGTGAGCTGTTGTAGAATCCTATAATTTGAAAGACTATTATTTCAATAAGTTTGCTTGAACCCATGTACATCTGAAGCTGGTTTCTCACGAAGCTTTAAGGGACTAAATCATATTCGTGAGATGATACAAACGAAGATGACAAGGTACTCACACCAGTCGCATTACCGAGAAATTCATGAAACGTGTAGGGGTGGGGTATGAGGATCGGTTTCAGCGCATCATCCGGGATACCAGAAGGCAGAGGGAGAGCAGCCAATCGAGCCTGTCGAAGGGTGATTGTATGCTCAGGTTCATCGATATTTGGCAATATGGGACTCTAAATTTAGAACATATGCGTCCGAGTAAACTTCAAATAATGTTGACTCACCTTTTCAGAGACGCTTTTTTCATAAATGTGAAGAGTAGGTTCCTGCGTTGGCAAAAAGCCGTTGGATTGAAATGAAGGACTATACGGTGGAGTGGGAGCTCCGGTTATTCTATCAGTTGGAGCGCTGCAATTATGTGATACATGGTTATCTTGTGTAGTTTCGTGTTGTATGCCCTTACATAAGTGGATTAATAACATCAATACGGCATACTGTGTGCTCATACCAAAGATTTTACTTTTCCTCCTTCGTCACAAAAAGAAGAACGATTCGAATCTTTCGCAAGATACATACTTTGTTGTGGTAAACGAATGACCTCGGAGCGCTCTAAATGCCTAATTGGTTTGCGTATGTCGCCTAATGCTTTGTGCTCACCTTGAATTTCCAGTCCTTCAGGTTTGCTTGCGATAGCAGCAGACTGTTCGGCAGCCCGTTTCATCTCTTCCACTTCACGCTTTAGCTTATCGATTATTTCAGTCTTCTGACGGACTGAGATATATGCGTTTTCTAAGCGATGAACAGCGGTATCACGAGCACCCATAGCTTCTATGACTCGCATCTTTTCGAGCTGAACTGAAAGTGCAACTTCTGCAGGACAAAAGGGAGTCTGAATGGAGAAGATTAATCCCAGAAAAGTTTACAGTAGGAACTTCGTAGTCCAAGAAAATGATGGAATGGGGCAACTTAGTAATTACCATGAACTTGGAGGCTGGAAGTCCGGTGTCCATGTGTGGTTTTTCGAAAAAATGTTCTTGCGACGTGGCCAGAATATCCAAAGGTAGGCCATCAGTTGAAACACCATGTGAAGACATTCTGCGAAGATAAAGATGTAAAACAAGCGACTTTCAAGAAATGGTTGTGGTTAAGAGCAAACTTGGGAGAATATAGTAAAACGCCCCTATATGACCGTCCAAATATTGCCAAATAGACCTTTGTCCGGTCATCTATTGAGTCACCGGTTGCTTTCCGTTTTATGACTGAGAAATTGAAACCGAGTCCTTGCAATAAGTAAGAACGCTCTCACCAGATTTAGTAAAAGCTCACTTATAAAGTTCTCTATCAATGGCCGTCTCTTTCCCTGATCTCACGTTCTCTGTCACCCCAGGAGTTAATGTAATGGATGATTAACTTTCGCGGTGTGCACGCCTTTTCAGTAACAACTATGGAGTCAGGGGACCGTCTGGTTGCTAGGGGTGAAACCATGTAAATATTTCGGCTTTCTCTTTTGCGTCGACTTATCATCGCTTTGCTGAGACACTCGTGTTAAAATGAACGCCTCAAAGCTCAAAAGCCAGTGTCTCAGTGATCCGGAGCACGGCTTTTTGACAAGTTGTTTCGTTGGCGAAAATCTTGTTGGCCAAGCTTTCGCCGCTACATGGGATTATAGGGGAGGCATGTTGTCCACTATTTTTTGACTGTAAGAAGTGTATACAGATATTTGCATCGTATACCTGAGCAGGTTCCATTGGATGGATCACCCAACTGGTAGTAGATCGCGATTACCGCAGGCGTCACATTGCAACTACGCTCTTGCAACATCTGCAATCCGACCCCGTGTTTGGTTCAGTGTCGGCTTTTGGAGTGGCTTCGTCCGGCCCTGCCACTTGTCATATTTTGGCGAAACTTGTCGGTATGCTTGCCTGTATCCGTATGATTTTGTACCTTATTCAACTGACCACTTAGATGTCCCTATATCAAATATTGACACGAAATTCATCTCCGACAATGCTGAGAGATTTTTGAAATCTACGACGGTCCATTATCTCAAGTCAGATGAACTTCGAGGCAGCCTATTTGGAAGTTATCGCGAAGTAGGAGGGGTGTTTTCTGTATTCACAAGCTTTTACATCGACCATACTGAACCTCTGGAAATTCTCAAAAGTATACAACAAGATCTGAATGGTGCCTTGCTGATCTCCTTGATGGTCACGAAGTTTTGTTGATAGTTTCGAACACCACCTCGCTATCTGTTTGATGATAAAACTGTACGTCTCAAAATGGCTCGTCTGAATACTGAATTCACTATTACGATAATCTTGATATATAAGCAGTGCTATTTCTGGACTGGCATGTTTTTTACTCAGCTTTATGCATACTTATACAGTTATTAGAACGACGTTTTTGCAAGTGCAAGTAATCGCTTTTCGACGAGTCAATAATGCTGTCCGCGAACTGAATGCTACTATGGAAGTACGTATACTGTATCCTGAAAACGCGCTACGAAAAATGAATTCGACTGTGGGTAACTTATTTGTGGAGATAGCATAGCTATGTGGATGGGTAATGTAATCGTACATGTACTCGTCCTTCAATATTTTCTTTTTATTGACCATCCTCCCCATCCGTCCCTCCTGCCCATGGCTTCACCTTCTTTTATTTCAAACTCACGTTCGTCCACTCTTTCCAGAATGCGTGCAACGATTGTCGCTGCGGCGATGGGCGCCCAACTCGAAGCTACGCATTTCAACCTTCCATATCCAAACGCAAACAAATCGGAAGCCCCCTTACTGGGATGGTAGCGCATAGGATCGAATTCAGTGGGATTTTCTCCCCACTCCTGAGATTTATGGTATGTTTCAATTTCAGCTACCTCGATGCTATCTGATTCTGTTGTGGAGGCAGCGAAAGGGAATTTGGACGGTGGGCTGGGATTCACTCGTGAAATGCGCCGAGTAGGCGGGTAGAGGCGCAGTACTTCTAGTACGACTGCCTCTACACTGGGCCCTGCCTTCTTGAACGCTTGAAACTGGGGAAGCGTTGAATTATCTCCGAAATCTAAAAATGCATGCCGGATTGATTCGTCTCGATAGGCATATACGGTGGTAATGGCTACAACTCGCCACATGGTCTCGAATGCGGGGATGATGAAGTCGAGGGGATTGGGATATTGGTCCCTGTTGGGGACCCATCGAAATATGTGATCATTAATCTCCGAAAGGAGATGAGGATGAAGCTGCTGCGATGTCTTAGCTTGCATCCAGCGTTCGTTTATTGCTTTCGTGACGGAAGCAACATCGCGAGGATCTAGGGCAGCTAGATCTGCGTCGAGAAAACCGGTTAGGACGATACTAAAAGTAACGGATTGCATATATGTGGCGAATTGGATGGAATCGAGCGGGAGGTAGTGATCAATGCACTTTGAAACCTCGCCTACCCACCCGTCCCATCCTTTCCTATCTCTAGGATTTGCTCTTGCTATCAGCATTTTTGCCGCTCTAACGAAGGCAGAATGAACAAACAGGTCGTCGCTAACAAAGGTGTTCGTCATGCCTAGCGCGCGTATGAGGCGCTCGTTTGGAAGCGCTCGAGAGCGGAGCAGCTGTTTCAAGGTGGTTTTGGGGGGATCAAGGAGAGCGGCTATTTCATCATGAGAAGTGATTCTTCGGATAGCTTCTTGGCGCCTACTTGTCCATCGTAGCGCTAGTGTGAGCGTTACGGTGGCGATGGCTACACCAATCAGTGCGTATTTTGTAAACGCACTCATTGTCGACTTGAAGTAACAAGATGTGCACTGCGGTCTATCCTTTATAACCTTTATATAAGATAGAAGCAACAATAGGACCACCTGCCTATGAAAAAACGGGTCGCAAATCCCCTTAAGCTTCCTCCTTAATGTTCCCACTTCCGCCACATCAATCATTCTCCGCTGTCTTGCGCGGTTTGCCTACTACTTCGACCAACATTCCGTTGGAAGGACGGTGCATCAATGTATCAATGATGGTACGGTGAGGCCAGGCTAATACGTTTTTATCAGGGAGTATGCTAAATCGGGTTTTCATTACAGGTAGTTTCCTGCGGGCGTCAAGGCTTTAAGGCTTTTACGGACCATTGGAATTTGCGGCCCTTTGGAAGACCGTGCTGTCTGGCTGCATGTACACGCACCTACTCACGTACATAAAGACAATTCTTCATCCACAAACCATTGTATCGCCTGTCTTTTATTTTGCTTGTACTTCCTCGCCCATGCCTCAGAAGAACGGCTTCAAGTTATTGCAGTGCGCACGCCCTGTTTCGTGAGAACGAACATGTATTCGATTTGATATATACTGGCGGCACCAGTTACAGGGTTATCGATTAGGTGGTCCAAGTCAACGAGGCAGCCATTTAGAAACCGTGGCTTCAGGGTGTTACGACGATTGCAATGGTTTCAAGTTCAGCGTGCCTCTAAGGTGTGTTAATTAGCTTCTGGAAGTCCTGGCATGCCTGCGTCGTGAGCCCACCCTCGAACCCACGGTTATGATAGCCCGAGTGGCTCACTCACAGCTTTCGTTGTATAAATCTAAACATCTGTTGTATTCCCGCTGCAGATCCCGGATATTTACCTCTGTCATGGCAAGAGCAAGACTCCCCTTCCTTTTCGAAGAATACTCCGCCGAGAACCCAAAAGGCTTCTTTTTTACTCCAAAAGCCGGTGCTCATTTTTAAAAAGAAATTCTGACAGAAAGTGAGGACTATCAAGTCCTTTCGAGATAAGTGAGTGAACGCAACGCAGAATCTCGTGCTCGCATCGTGATTCACGTACAGGGTTCCTTGCTAGCCTGATTCATGTTACTTCTCGACAACCCCATCCCAACAAACCAGCAACCGCCGTTGCAAATTTCGAGCACGCATTACTGTGATCATTCAATCTTTTCCCCTTTTGACCGCCCCACAGCCTCTCTGATCACGGCACATAGCGATAATAACAAACAATTTCTGTTCAACGGCATGGAGAGTGGCCCGCTTTCGGTGTAGGTATGCGTTGTACACATGCTCTCAATATCAAAGCCTCATTAGTCTGTGGAAACTGATGAGGGTTCACGATAATATTTTTTTCTTGAGCCTGAAATGTTCGCATTCTCCTATGTCGGAAATTATTAGCGTGTCTAATATGGTGACACAACGTGAAAGGCTCCAATAAAAGACGAATCCCACAAGTTCTAGAATAGACTCCTTATCGATCGCATGTGATCATTTGTGCAACTCATTGCAATTAATGTACTCAACAGTCCAAACGCCAGTCTGAGAGTTATGTCCATATGCTGAGGTGTTATCAAGCCCATACATTGATTCGATTATGCTACGTCTAAGCACCAATTATTTTACCTGAACTCTAAAACTAATCAACTGAGAGGGGGAGCAAAAATAAGATATCTTGTCTATTGGCTTATCGCCCCAGATTTTTCCACCAAAGCTTCAGCTAACAGCATCGCTCTCATCCGCTTAGCATCACTTTCAACAGAAGATTTTGGCCCATTTCGATAATCAATTTTGTTTTCCACTTCGGTCTTCGCAAATCCTGATTCTCTCTTGTATCGAAGTTTCGATAGTTTCTCCAGGCACCACTCCAGCGCATGTTCCGTGCGTACCTTGAGGTCATAAACTTCATCCCTTTGGTAGTATGCCATCCCGTTACGGTTACCTAGCCACATGTAGAGCACCAACACTTTATGCAGTGTCTCCAGAGTGGGGAGAGTCTTGGGTGACGGCGAAAACCGTAACTGTCCAGTCGACATTAACTCCTCTATCTCAGTCAACATGGGTAGGAATGGTGCCGATCGCAATGCAGTGTAGATATCGACACGTATTTGGCTCTGATACATGCGAACGAACCGTTTAAGCACCTCCAAAAATGCAGGGTCCGACCATGAAATAGGTGCAGACATATAGAGCAATTTGTCTTCAAAAGTGAGGTCGTTGGCGAATGTGTCGACGAATTTCGCCATCTCGTCTAACCTGTGTTGGGTCGTGGCCTGAAAAGGCTGACGGACTTTGGATACATAGCCAGGGACCTCGAAAATCGTCAATAATGAAGCGTCTGGGGGTAATACCTGCGATACCGAGTCCAACCACGAACTTTTGATGACAAGTCGTGCCATAGTAAGAGGATCCGCAGGCATCGAAAGAGCAGATCGTAGTGCAGGCAAGTCATCAGCATTTAGTGTCGTGACGAAACCACCTGGTTCGCCGTGTAAACCATAACGTCCAGCTCTACCTGCTATCTGCTTGATCTGAGACGTGGATAACATCCTCTCGCGGTCACCGTCAAACTTGCGTAAAGCTTCAAACACTATACGCTTGATTTTCCTGAATGAGCTGAGCTTTAGCATTTAATAAGCTGACAATGAAATACAGCAACGCACAAATTAAGACCCATTCCGATGGCATCGCTACCAATCATTACATCGTAACCACTATTCGGATCGTTGAACAGTGCAGCTTGCTCGCTACGGATCTCGGGGGGTAGACGACCATATGCAACGGCACATCGTAGTCCAGTAGCCCGCTCAACCTTCTGTTTGAGTGCGAAGATGTTCGATCGAGAAAAAGTCACGACACAATCACCCTTCTGTACTCGGTTGAGATCTCCTTCCAAAGACTCCTCTTGGACAACCAGTGGTGTAAGTCTTTCGTACCGTTTGACGATAAGTTCATCGCCAGTGTCTTTTAAGAGTTCCTCAATGATGGGAACTGCAGTCTCCTCCCCACAGAGATGGAGTTCCCTAGCCGGCAAACCCAAGACAGCATGAGTCCAAGCTGCTCCACGGTCAGTGTCGGCAATCATCTGGATTTCATCCACCACGGCGACATCTAGCTCTGCAGACTCCGTGATCATCTCCACGGTACAGCTCAGCAACCCTGCAGAGTCTGAAACATATCTGGCTTCTTCTCCAGTACGTAAGTTGCATTCTCTGGCATATTTAGAACTCCCCTCTTTTCTGACTGTTGGCCGAGATCCTTCAGTATTAACCACATCTGCAATGAGCGTGGTGTCTGGTTGTGCTTCATCGTCGGGATCTACACCCAGTGGAACGATCTGTCCTTTATTAAGTCTCTCCCAAATTTCGTGCGCAAGAAGCCGTAGAGGGCCTGCATAAACGCCCACTCTAGCAGCAGCAAGTGCACGTAATGCCATATGAGTCTTTCCACTATTGGTAGGGCCTACGTGCATTATGACCTTGCGCCGCATGGAGCGTGCCTTTGGATAGACATCTGCGGGATACGATAGGTCGGCGGAATCATAGAGATTCTTGATTTGTTTAAGCGTTGTTCGAGGGACGATATCGGAGAGTAAAGCTTCGTTGTCTGGGTCAGACGCCCACGTGTAAAATAGCTGGCTCATTACTTCATCAATACGACGTCCCATGCCTCCCTCAGAATGAATGATAGTGAACCTTTCCATCTCGTATTTCTCTCTCTGAGCCTGGGTAGACAGCAAACCTCGGCGGAACTCATTCACGAACATCATAAGGAGTGGGTTTATGTCACACCTCGGTATGCCAAATCTCTCTAGACGTCGTCGCACGTAAGGCAAGCTTGACCATTCTGCTACTGTGTCTCTGATTATAGAAAGGGTGTCCGGAACTTCGTTAACGCGAGAACTCTCTTTATGTTTCTGCGGCGGTTTTCCGATTGGGCCTCTTTGAAAATCTTGTCCACCTCCGTTTGAAGAATGCCACTCGTTAAGTCGAAAAGAGCTACCAGAGGCTGACTGCGATGATGCGATGCGATGTGTCGGGCGGGAAGTATGCTCCGTGTGGCGCCCTGAATAATCACGCCCTCCCTCAATACGTGGGCGCGGTTCACTGCGTGAGTAAGAGTTGCCGTAAGATGACCTGGATGATGTCTGAGGACGCATAGAACGGTATGGCTGCTCCGCGTGGTCCTCCGGATAGTCATTATCACCTTCATCGCGGGAACGTGAAAAAGAGGATGACCAGGACGGTGATTGAGAACGCTTGGCACGATATGGTCGCTCTACATAATCTCGTGAGGAGTCACGCCAGAATTCGTTGCGAGGTCGACCCTCGTAGCGCGGAAAGGACCCGCCTGAGGATGACGGTGATTTGTGACGCATAGGACGATGGGGTTCCTGGATGGGGCTCACTTGAGAACCATATTCGCTTTCATCGGCAGAGTTTCTCTGGAACCGCGGAAATTGACGGCCTGGGGATTCTTGAGGTGGTGGTTTCGAACTATGCGAAGTAGGAGTTGAACGGAAACGGCAGAAATAGCTCTGGCTATTTTCCAGCCAAGTCTCGCCATGGCACCCAGATAGAAGAAGTCGACGACATGGATGCATAGTCGTGCCCTGATAATATTAAGTTGAAAGGAGATGGTTGTCACTCTTGTTCCATATGTTAGTGAAAGTCAGTACGAAGAAGAGTAGTTGGGAAATTTTGCGAGGACCACAGAAGCGGTTGTTTGCTCGTGTTAGAAACAGAGGCTATTGGCTTTAGGTTTTAATTGGCGTCCCTTTCGAGCCTTCGCCCAGTACGTGCACAAAAAATACACCATGGCATCAATACCACCTGCACGAATAGCGCGTATAGTCAGCACCCGCTGCTCAATATTCGAGACATTCTATAATCCACAGTCTCTACGGACTGGTGCCAAATATCTCCGGGCCCGCCTTCGTGGTCCATCTATGGTCAAATACTACCCTCAGGAAATAAATATTGCTAAAGCAATAAGGGCATACCCTGAGCTGGAGATGGTCAACAAAGCTGAGGTACAGAGATTGCAGGATGTTGAGGATAAGAAGAAGAGAGGCAAAGGTGCTCCCAAAAAGGCGAAGGATAAGGGTGCGTGTCTGTATATTCTCTGACTTACGGTTGGCTGACATTCGCGCGTGCAGCTGACAGTCGCAGGGCAACCAGAAAGCGATAGAGGATTTTCATATCTCATCATACAGTTTTTCTTTCTCGTGCTACTTTGTATCGACCTTCCCATTACTGCCGCTAATAATAACCAAACCGCATACATCGCCCAAAAGCTTCAACAAGTATAACAGACACACCTTTAGCTTGAAATCCACATCGTCAACAGGTGTCTTCCATTCCTGCTGGATCATTGACCGCGCCTCCTAAACTTCCCATTTCCGCGAGAGTCAATGAAAAGAGATCATCGAAATTTTGTTGCAGTCCTGTTCTTTCTAATGCCAACTGATAATTTTCACCTTGCACATCTAGCCCTGTTAACCATTCCTCCATCTCAGCTGTACCCATGACTAGTAAGCTGCGGAGCCTCGTCCGTTCTGTTTGACTCATTGGAGACGACCGGATGGTTTTCGACTGGTGGATATCAATGTTCTCGACTGGGATGACTAGGTCTACTCCCTCTCCTGCAGTAGGATCCCAAACTTGGGCTCTGAGCACAGCGTGCCATGCATGGTCAAGATCATCAAGAAACTCCAGTAGCTGGGGTAGTGACTTGATCTCTGCGGGGTAACCTGGGACTGAATTCATAACGTCGCCTGTGAGACGAAGGAGGAAGGTTATGCGTAGGGAGGTTGATGGATCTACTGGTGGGATCTGTAGAATGAACGCGAGGAGTTGTTGCATAGCGGCGATGTACGCTGGTAAAGTCGGCAATTTTGACATAGACGGCTCTGTACTAAATAAATGTTATACATATGGAGGCTTGTTACCAGTATATATATCAGCAAACATCCAACTGACCGCTTTTTGAAGGCACTGTTGATTTCCATGAATTGATCTTCAACATACTCAGTAGCTTTTCGTTCTTGGACTTTAGATAGGGCACGAACATTGCTAGTTGAGCTGGAAGAAGCAATAGCAACATCCATATGCGCAGATGTCATATTGCAGTCAGGAACGAAGCCTTTGATAAACAAGTGTCAACTAGAAATGACACGGTTTCAAGTTGGAGTACTCATTCTTGCCTCCAAGTTCGGGCTGTAAACCATGTCTATGCAACAGAGTATGTATATGGAATATATGTAATATTTGATTGAATATATATTGTAGACACCAGCTATACGTCGATGGCTTTGATCAAGATAAACCGATGCGACTCCTGACCTCTAGTAGGGTACGTTCTGATCTTGTCATGGCCCTTTCAGCTCCATCTTTGGCTATCTTGAGCAGATAAGAGGCTTCGCCGCGGATTTTCTCGAACTCTGATCTAGGATGTTTGAATAGCTCTTCAACTGCATCCGCGACATCGGTTTTTAACTGGCCATGGCCTTTGTGTTGGTATGTTTTCGCGACGTCGAGTACCTCCCTGTCCGTACAAGCAGCCAAGATGGTCAGGAGATTCGAAGTCCCTGGTCGGTTGACAGGGTCATAGGTGACCCCTTGGATCGAGTCTGTAACGGCACCACGAATCTTAGCTCTGATCTGAGCACCGGTATCTGTGAGGAGGATGCGTGATTGAATGTCTGGAGAAGATTTGGACATCTTCGACGTTGGATCTTTGAGAGATAGGACACGTTTTGAAGGGGCTATGAAAAACGCTGAACAAAATGGTTCTTTAGGTTCAGAAATCTACTCACTAATGACACACTCCGGTAATGGAAAGAGAGGTGGTCCCTGATTGAAAGTGCGGTTAAATATGTCTGCTATATCTCGTGAAAGCTCCAAATGTTGTCGCTGGTCCTCGCCTACTGGAACATGCGTTGCTCTACAAAAAAATCCACGTCAAATCCCTTGGTGAACCAGCCGTAATTGGACCGCACCTATATGCAAGAATATCGGCGGCTTGGAGGACGGGATAAGTGAACAGTCCAGCGTTCAAGAGAGATTCGTCGACTTCAGACTCGTCATTGGCATTTCTGGATGCTGCTAATCGTGCCTATGGTACTTCACGGAAAGGCCAAACAAGGGGCTAGAAAACCACGAACCTTCCATGTAGTCATTCTGCGCAGCTTTCCAAGGGGTGTTACACAGTTCAAAATCCAACATAACTCCGTGTGATGGAGGTTCTGCATCATGGTAAACTGAGCAGTACAGATAAATGCTGCTTTAGCACCCACCTGGTCTTGATGAAAAACAATAGAACGGTTGGGATCGATGCCAATAGCTAGTAAGACAGATAGCATATCACTTCTCGCAGCGCGTAAGGCCACGGGATCTTGAGGGAGAGTCAAAGCATGCCAGCCCACGATTGAGAATATCAGTTCATCTTCTGGACCTGCGTTTTTTTGTAGTTTGACCCAGTTAGATAGAGCACCAAGATAGTTTCCTAGCTGGTTTAAAACTAGGTTAACCCAAAGGAAATGCGACGAAAGAACAAGATGTCACATGAGGAATGCCTGTAGGCTGAATACCAGAGAAAACGACACGAGGACTGCTGTCGCCATTCCGGGACTTGGTTACTTCGATGGTAGTATTAACAGCACGTGTATGCGCAATGTTGCTGCGAATAGGACCTTGGTTTTGGCAAGATGGCAGCCATCGAGGCGCTGTACGATGCACTTGCCGTCGTAAGGAAAGCATCCCAGAATTTACAAGGGATCCAGATACAACAATCGTTTGAAACTCCGTTTTTCACTACAGGCATATCTCCGAGCTGCTTTGCTCTGTTACTTTTTCGATATGCAACGGTCACTACAGTCTTGGTCTTGATCTCTGTATATACTGTATCATATTGCCTTGACTGTCTGATACGCTTTTTTTCGTGCCTTCTTGTCCATCATTGCTGGGGTACCATGGATCCAGAGCCCATGGATATCGATCCTATTGATTTACCTGGAGGGAGCAACTTTCATGATGTTACTGCCTTGCTTGCAAAGGCCGCAGGAGGTGAGACCTCCCATTTATGAATTCAAATAAATCCAAACATAATTCGCATATTCTATTCTAAAGATATGAAACCTGGAGATCTAATCTTGGCCGACGGGTTTTCTCTGCAAGACGCCATGGGTGCCTTTGAGGTGTGCTTACTTGTATTATTACCCACTTGCTGCTATTTACACGCCGATCAAAGATAGGTGAACCACGCTTCGATAGTGGCATGGTATCCGAGATCAACATAAACCCGCCGTTCAATCCTTTATCCCCCATGTTGCCAGAGGAGATTTGTTGGTTAATGGACAGGTCCTTTGTGTGCGAGGTGAATGAGGGAAACTTACATCTCCTTGATTTGTATTCACGTGTATGCTGCGCAACTCAGATGGAATGGCATGCCGGCTATACACTTTCGCAAACTGTGTTCACCGTACTTTTTGTGCACCACTTGAGAGATATAGACCCTGACTTTCTGGCGAGGGATTTTGCATGGGACGGTAAACCTTCTCAACCACTAGAACTCATCACTGTCGTCCTCCGATCCTTCATTTTTGGACTATTGAAATGCTGTGATCTTGCCTGGAGAGAACTCTCAAAAGAAAGAGTGCATGATGTCAGTAGCCTATTTTTGCATACCTCATCTGGATATACACTTATGCTGCACGGAACATTACAGGCAGAGGATTGGCAGAGCGAGAAGTGTGACGTTTCCTTATTGGAGGGAGTTCCTGTAAATCACGTATTTCAAAAGCTAGAGGAGGCCTCCAGGTGGCTCCAAACATCTCCCAAAGGTATGTCTAGCTGTTTTTACATTACGGGTGGGGCTTCATATTTTGGTTACTCGCAGCAAAGTCGTCTTGGGTGAAACCACTTCTTGTTAGGATCCATCTGAGAATGGTATATTTTCAATATCAATATCATTCGTCCGATAGTTTCTTACCTTTGCTCTATGTAGGCACTTTTGCAATTGATGGACTCGAATCTTTCCCATGAATATGCTAAGCTCCCCTTGCTTGTTGCCGACATTCGCAATCAGATACAAGCTATCGACAATTCCCCGAAACCAAGACCAGAAGCGGGATCAGTAGCACACCGGGCTCTGGATCCTAATGTAGCTCGCCGATTAAACTTTTATATACCCCTTCAGATTCTTCAGCTTCCCCCAGAGAATCAAGCTTGGGCCAACCTCCAGGCAAGCCTCAGTGGTATGGCTGAAATTAGCATACTTTCTAATACCGCAAGCGTTGGTACATGGGAGGTTAGCCTAAGTCATCCGCTGAAATTTATTTCTGACATTACATTAGATTGTTGGGCTTCTTCGTGGATGGTGTCCACCACTATACCGAAGCCTCCCTCTCTTACGCTCAGCCATCCAGGTGAGTCCTCTGCTTCAGCTGCACTTTTATTTTGCTTGACGATATCCTTAGTCGGCATTCTTTGATGGCGTTCTTGTAATGAACAAGTACCCACTGAACCATATTGTTAATCGGTTTTTTGTGGAAACATTAGACCTTACATATGATTCTTACGCTCGCGCTGTCAAGCAGCGTTGGACGGGTTCTGACCCTCCGCCACTGTCAAACATAGAACGAAATGTCACCAAGGCAGGCATGTTGTGTTATTCACATGGATGCTTGATCAAACAGTGCCTTTAGCTTGTCACCGGCCATGTGAAAGCAATGTGGTTCAACCCACCTAGACGTCGCCGCTATCTTATAAAATCACTTATAGACTGGCACGAACTATATGCCGAGTCAAGTTATATATCATCTGAACTGGCACCTGTGGTGAGTGTCTTAGCTGCTAAATGTCCATTTCCAGCTGATGGCAGGAATGCCAAGCTCGGGTTAGATATGGTGTCTCGTGCACAAAATGTTGCGCTACTATACAGGCTCACAGTCATCCGTGAAATTGTATTTTCTGGCTTTCAGATGTCGTTATATACCTCCGAGGAGAAAGCATTTGCATATTGGCATGCTGCACATATCATCGAACTACACCTTAATACTCTGGATGAGCTGGAGCCAGGCATTTCAAGTAGTAAGCACTTCTGTGATATATTACTACTGACTTGACCTCTCATCCTTTCATATTAATGTCAAAGCATCCAGGACTCATCATGAACTGAAGTTCAATTCTGCTTTTCTCAGCGCTTTACAGTTAATGTCAACCGCTATGTTTTTGGTGAGCTTCTCTCAAAATCTAGCCAGTCCTATGTTGTTAAAGATTCCAAGGTTACGAGTCAAAAAATGACTATCTCGTGGGAGCGTATGCGTTTGAATTTCCTCCGTCGCTATAAATGGGCCTTCATATCAGAATATGATGACGTTGATGTCCCTGTTGTTGGACACCCGCAATTCCCCGAATTCATGCATTACTGCACTGATGTCCAAAAAGTAATGAATAGTGCTTCACTATATTTATACCCATCATGATGACCATTTCCTCTAGGACGGAATGGATTCTCCAGCCGCCTGCTTTGAACTGGCAATCCATATTCTCTCCAGCCTATTAAGCTCTCCTACAGGCTGGGCTGGTAAATGGAGTGGCGATCGGCTTCAGGTGAGTTGGGTTGATCAGATAATTCAAATGGGTTATCTCACTACAGCTCTTGTGCAGTTTATCCGAGACCTCATTCATGTATGCGAAGGGCTTGTTACTCTACCCTCCACCCTGGAAGAGATCAGTACTTTCGATTTCAAAACCTTGGTATGGAATCCTGACGCAAATCCATGGTTTCCATACATTCAAAAGGCCACATAACTGTAATACTGGCCATTTCTAAATTTGTGGATATATACTTCGAACTCGTGCTTCGATCGCGTCAATATATACGACTCATGTTACTAATACTCCCCGACTGCCAGGTTCTGATGTGCTACGGCGGAGGGTATGCTACACGTACCCAAACTAGGGAAGGTCCCAATCAAGGTCCCGATATCAAATATGTCCGTTATAGATGTAAAAAGAAAGTTACTAAAAATTTCAGAGTTAATGAAGCAAGGACTCAGTTAGTTTGACGATTTTGCGCTTTTTCAATCTGATTAGACTTCCACCACTAAGAGAACGGTAAGAGCACAGTTTAAGTGGTACGCTCAAAAAGACATACCTCAACGCTGGATTTTATTCCTTCATCCAGTGAAAAAAGAGGCTCATAATCCAGTGCAGTCCTAGCTTTTGTTATATCGCAGCAGCGAGTGGAACATATGTATGTCACTCTCATCCTCGTTAAACTGGGTTCCTTGCCAAGCAGTCGACTGAAAAACTCAATGACGGAGGCCAGTATATATGCAATTCCCCGAGGAATTACTAGGGTACTTTTTTCAGAGTGATAGCCTGCCTCTTTCCATAATGCGCGAGGGAAGTCCCACCAACAACGAGGGTCGCCGTTGGTGATGAAAAATGCTTGTCCAGCGACCTGCGAGTGTTTGGGGTGGGAAGGTGAGAGACGATCGGCAGCAAGGAGATGGGCTTGGGCAGCATTTCCGATGTAAGTCCAGTCGAAGAGGTTTTTGTTGTCGCCAATTTGGATGTGGCTGCGACCTGTCAGCATGACATTCATCATGGAAGGTAACGTAACTCGGTCACCAGGCCTGAGAAGACATTAGCAAGAGAAAAATTGCATTTCCAGGATTCGAAGTACCCAAAAAGACCAGCTGGCCTGAGTGAAACAGTGTTGAGGCTATTTCGGCCATTTGCATCCAGGACGAGCCTCTCTGCTGATGCTTTTGTATCGTTATAGTCATCCATGTGATGGACAGGATACGGCGCGGTTTCGTTGACATTAACCTGATCTTCTCCATTGAATACGACGCTGGCAGAGCTTGTGTAAACCAGTTTCTGAACCCCGAAGGCGATGGCTTGCTTGATGACGGTGTCAGTCCCACGAATGTTGATTTTTTCCTGGAGTTCTCGAGGTTTGCCTGGGAGCGAGGATGCAGTATGAATGATACAAGATGGGCGGCACTTGGACAGAAAACTGCGCTTCAGCATGTACAATGCAAATGATTTCCTAAGGAACTCACATTTTGTATGGCATCGCCTAAAGATGCAGCATCGGTAATGTCACCTGCAAAAACCTTTACTCTTGGGTCAAGAGGCGAAAGAGAAATGTCAAACACGGCCACTGAAGCTTCGCCGCGCTGTAAGAGTTGGTCTACGATATGACGACCAAGGAGACCACATCCTCCGATAACGAGATACGAGTCAGTCGACATTGAAAAGACTTGAAAGAATGAAAGGAAGGACTGGCCTGAGAACTGCGCTCAATAGGTGCCGGTTAGCCAATGGCTATTCAAGTTGTACGTAAAGCCGGCTATTATAGTAAATTAAATATCTACGGGCGGCGACACAACCACAGTGACTGGGTTCATGGTGATGTATTTTTATGACTCCTGTCCTTCCTGTAAAGATATCCATGATGGGAGTATGATGAGCAGCTCGAGGAAGTAAGGCACAGGTGTGTGTTACTCACGTTCACAATCTTTTGATTCTGATGAGCTTGGATAGGTGATACGCTTTACATAGGCGATATACTATCAAGAAGAGTCACAGTGGATTCGCGCACTGTTACTGACAATGGTTAGTTTATGCTTTGCATATTTCAAAGTTTTTCGAGCCACTGCACTGCATCATGTCGATGGAAACTACCTCATACATAGCTGGCACTGGACAATTGGTGTCCTTCAGTAGCTATAGGGTCGTTGACAGTGCGTCCGGAATTAGCAGGCTTGATTATACTGGACTGATGGTAAACGTTGGAAAAATCAACAGAACAATGGCCCAACCACTGTCATAGAAGGTATGTCCGAGGTGCCATGGCAGTCGCGGACTTGAAATTTATTATCCATAGGCTCGAGCCGCAGACGTGACAGAACGGCTACCAAAACTGGTTTGCTCTATGGACGTATGCACTCCGACACCTTTGTCATTTGTGCCGGTGGTTGTGTTCTGATGCAGTGGTATGTGACATGTGAACGCTGGCATGTCTATCCATATCACAACGAGTATCGTTTAGATCACTTCCATCATGATTATGGACTTCCACCCACTTGTTCACGCGCAGGGGTATGGCTGCGATCACTAATCATTGATAAACCAGACACCGCCGCACTTGAAGGACCTAATTCTACTACGACGGATATTACCCAGCTATAACTCGGTCTTGTGCTGTCACCGAAAAGACAGCACGGCATGGGCTCATGTTACTCGGGTCCTAATCTCATGCTGCAACTTGACAGACCAATCAGTCACACGATGATGGTATCATTTTAGTGTCCTAGCATGATTCGCCTATTCTCAGAATACAGTTATAAACGACGCACCTCGAGCGGACACCTTTACTTACGATAGTCACGGCAACCCAAAGCTCCTAAAATGTCGTCAAGTTCCTCACCTGCTATGGCTGCGCCCATTAACGAGGTGGCTGCATTAAAAACCGCCTTCAGCTTGTTGCTCATCGGCACAGTTCTCTCCTCGTGTCTAATTCCTATCCTTATCGCGCTCTTTGTCTTTTCCAACGCTAGTTCTCGCCGACGTCCAGTTTTTTGGGTAAACATCGCATCAATCCTTCTCGGCCTCGCAGAAGGGGGCGTCAATATTTATGGAGTGGTACGTCTGTGCATAACATTGCCACTTAAATAGCGGGATTAAACTTGGGTTTTCCAGGTACATAACATGTTATCACCCAATATCCCACCGCTGCCTGGGCTGGTCACTGCACTACCCGCTTTGTCCACTCTAGTTCCTTTCATAGCAGAGTTTGCTTTGGTTTTGCGTATCATCGCTGTCTATCCGTACACAACCACACCACGGCTCAAGTTTGCAGCTATTCTAGCCCCTACTGTCTTATGCAAAGTGCTCCGACTTGCATTCCTGATCACTTTTCTGGTAAAATTTGATGCAGCGGTCCAGGGAAGCGTCTCTTCAATAGCGGATGGTGAAGCACTCTGGGGCATATGGGAACCCAGAGCAGTCTGGATATTGGAATGTATTGATAACGGGTAAGGGATCTGTGCACTCCCTATAACGTATCTTACCATCGCATACCATCCAGATACGTTTCCATCGTGTTTATTCAACGCCTACGAAGAAAAAGCATCACATCAGAAGGTGTTATCCGACCTCGTGAGTATATTACCAGGTGTTACACGACTTCACGAATCACTTAACCAGCGCTCTAGGAAGAATGGTATCCCAGATGCGCGCCTTATTTCTCATTGCGCTTTCCAACTTTGTATTTCCAGTGCTTTTGGACATCATCATTCTTGCTATCGCTTTCCACACAACTTCGTATGATGCAACAAGTATGGTATTGTACGTCGACAACTACGTCACCATCATCAGTGTGGTATTTGCCACTCTTTGGACATCGGTCTCTCGAGAACACGGTCAGGAAGAAGACCCGCAGACAATCGCGCTGTCCACCATATATGGCGCATCAGTTCCTTCGAGTAACAGTCAACGTTCCGAATCAGGTCCGTCTCCATAAATGTAAATGCCACATTAAATTGTAAGAAATTTATTGTTCTCTAGCAGATATATACGATGCCAGGCGAAAGTGGGGACCAGCAGCTCTAAAATCACCGCAGCTAATGCCCGATGTTTAAATTCTTCCGGATCCATGATGTACTAGTATGTTTGGGGGAATAGTGTCAGCGCTCGGGTGATCATGCCAGTGATGACTTTTATCTTTGTACTTGGTGGTCTGTTTATCATAAAACCGCGACTTGATTGGAGGCAATGCAATAGCAAAAGATCTTGTAACATACACCCCCAACAGGGCTAGAGTGCCCTTTACTGATATCATGCGTATCTTGATTATATTTCACAGTTTTCACTCAGCAGCCAAACTTGTGAGCTAGTGGTATAGAGCCCCGGCCCGGAAGCCGATAGCCAGACTTGATACTGCTTGAGCCTGACCACGACGACCAAGTTGAAACTTGATTACATTCAAGTTTATCAATTTTACCAACCTGCTTTTATTTCGAATGGCTCCAATCAAAGGGAGCTCATTATCTCGTTCCACTCGCTTGGCAACTCATACAAGTCCTTATCATGCGTCGGTGACCCTTTTCAAGGTAGAAGACAGCACTCCAGAGTCAGACTTTGTCATACCCGTAGCCTCTACGCGACGTTCCAAACGGCTACGAAAACCTCTTAGTGAGACAGAATCCGCTGTTAAGGCTGAAGATACCCTTTACAAGAAAGAAGACCCCATGGTGGTATCCGAAGCGCCAGGTCCATCTACGGTGTCCAGGCCCAAATCTCCCCGAAAACCAAAGCCAATCCAACAATCACTGAAGGTTCCCCATCCAGCGCCACCCAGATGGCGAGAAACCTACGACACAATCAAAGAAATGCGGTCTCATATTGTAGCACCTGTCGACACTATGGGCTGTGATCAAGCGCAACTGAAGGAGAGCGATCCAAAGGTCAGTTAATTGAACTCGTTAATGTGACCAGCTACACCAATTTCACTGTTTGTGCAGAGTCAACGATTTTCAACCCTGGTTTCCCTCATGCTGTCTTCCCAAACAAAGGACGAAGTGACCGATGCTGCTGTCGCTAAGCTCCGCGAAGCTGTTGGTGGAAGCCTGACTGTCGACGCAATAATATCGGTAGATGAAAGCACCGTTTCTGAAGCCATCGCAAAAGTTGGCTTTTGGAGGCGAAAAACTCAGTATGATACTCATTCAAATGTTGTCGCAACCTGTATGCTCCAGCTGAGACTTGGTTTACATAGGTATATCAAACAAACTGCGCTACGTCTACGTGACGAATTTGATTCCGATGTACCTAAAACTGTAGACGAATTGTGCTCTTTACCTGGCGTAGGGCCAAAAATGGCTTTCTTGGCTTTGCAAGTAGCATGGAAATTGTACGCGGTTTTACCATCATCAACAAGCTAGACATCGCTCACTCATTGCATTTGTAGGAATGTTGGGATAGGTGTTGATGTTCATGTACACAGAATAACGAACAGATTGGGTTGGCATCAGCGACCGACAAAGAACCCGGAAGAAACAAGGTATGGACTTGTATTATAAAGCACCATTTTCAGAGGATTTGACCCTCGTAGGCTTAATTTACAATCATGGCTTCCCACTGAGTTGCATCCAGAAATTAATCACATGCTCGTCGGCTTTGGCCAGGTCAGTCTTCATAGTGTTGGTGTTTCCGATTTATTTAGTATTGAAGTAGATGGTATGTCTTCCTGTGGGGCCGCTATGTGGATCGTGCCGGTTGAGTTCGTTGGGATTATGCCCCAGTGCGCAAGGGACTGCTACGGCAAAGAAGCGCAAGACGTCGGCGCGCATGACTGTTGATGAACCAATACATCCTGGCCCCAAAGTCGAAATCGCCATAGAAGAGGAACGGCTCGTGCAAGTGAGCACAGACTGACCTTTCCCAAACTTTGATTATATCCTGGTGTCTTACCACCTTATCTTGAATCATGCTGATGACTTATTTGTAGTACGTGTCTTCAAGCCTCGTACATATACTTATCATATAGATATATCGTTGCAAAATATTTTAATTCAAGATACTAGCGTACATGCGCAGTATATATCGTGATGATAGACGAAATTTTGACATGATTACTATCTTTTTCAATAGCACCCACAAATTTCCATCAAGATAAATTCATAGCCATGTCCCAGAAGCCTTTCTCCAGTCTGGTACATTTCTCCCAAACTTGACGCCACTCTTCAAGTCTGCCTTCAGATGGTGGGTCAGCAGCAGCTTTAGTCTCGATTGTTTCTGGCAGTCGCAAGTCAACATTAGCCAGATTATGTTGCCTCAAAAATGGGTGCCCACCAAGTCCTTTCCTCACTGCACTCTGGTAGTCTTGCCCAGAATAGTCTTCGATCCACTTTAAATAGGGGTTTCCATCCCATACTACCCAAGAATTTGGTTTGCAAGCTTCTTTTTTCAACCACAGTCCCACCTCTCCATAGCCTAGGAGACAGGCCATCAATGCCATGGTCAGTTTCATACTGTCCCCTGTGTGCGTGTCAAAAATATAAGCTAACACTGAAAAGACACCAACATACCTTGTAAGCCAGTGTCAATGAGGAAGGCACCATACGCTGTGGTGGCTGGAGATTCGGGAGTGTTTTCTAGTACGCTTTGACTAATACCCCATTGAGCACAGAATTCCACATGCATTGAACTCTCGCGAACAACAGTGACTACCGTCTCCATCGCAGCGCTAATAGGATCGTATGCATGCGATTTGGTTGCTAATAAGCTTTATAATAGATACTCTAGTCAGTACTGCATAAATCAGCCCACAAGGAAAACACTCACGCATATGCACGAGCATAGTATTTCAAATAATGATAGTCTTGTCTAGTGTGCGGTTAGTGTGAAAAACGAGAATCCGAGTAAAAACAACAAACTTTATGAAATGCAAGAAGGATCCTCTTTCCAATATTCCTTTCCCGAGAAGCTTGACAAAATCGTGTTGTACATATCCTTTCCAAATGCTTGCGGTACCTTGGATGAGCGATCTCGTCAGTGGGTAAGGATTGGTTTGCGATCGTCTATATATAAGTTCGGAAGGGTCAATATAGTAAATTACGAGCAGATGCATAACACACAAAGGGATTCTTCGTATTAATATGGAGTGTAAATGATTCAAAGGGCCAGAACCATGTCCAATCGAAGGCGCTGTTTCGATAGCCAAATGCGTGTAAGCTGTGGCTTTTTTCGTAGCTTCAGCCACTGAATGCACCGTCAGTGATATCAACAAGAAAGTTAAGAATCGGCATACAGTCGACACCCATTCCAAGTTGGCACGTCAAGGCAGCACTAAGAGTGCAACCAGTCCCATGGGTATTCGTGGATTGTAAGCGAGGTCGGGGGAACAAGTTTATCTCCCCACTGCACTGACAGAGTACATCAATAACAAGGTCCACGGCAGGTATCCTTCCATTTTGCAGAATCTCCATGTTTTGATCATAAATATCATCAGGTGCCCAAATAATACGCGGATTAGCGGCAGTTACTCGACATAAATCTTGATACGTTAATGGGATATGACCACCTTTCAGAAGGACAGCTCGAGATCCTAAGGAGAGAAGATTTTGTGCAGCCGTGAGCATTTCTTCCAAACTTGTTATATCATCCGGTAACCCGCTCCTGGAAAGGAGAAGTTTTGCTTCTGGAATGTTCGGCGTAATAAGTTGTGACAATGGGAATATTTCTATTATCATGCTCTCAATGGCATCTGGATGGAGTAAAACATGTCCAGACGTAGAAACGCAAACAGGGTCGCAGACGAGAGGGATCATGGTCTGGGATTGATAGTGCTGCTTGAGAGTTTTTGCCACAGAAAGCACGTTATCGGTATCATAGAGCATTCCTGTTTTGATAGCATCTACATTAATATCGCTCAAAACAGAGCGAATCTGAACAGTTCGATGTAAGATTTTGTAAGAGAAAAATGCGAGGTAAGGTGCATACTTGCTCTGCTACGAATTCCGGTGGAGATGGATGAACTGCTTGAACCCCAGTGGTGTTCTGAGCCGTCATAGCGGTTATAACACTTGCTCCATAACATCTATGTGCAGTAAATGTCTTCAGATCCGCCTTTGATTATCTATCAGTGTAGATTTGACAACGAAATGGTATAACCAATCATACTTGGATACCAGCACCCCCACTTGAATCTGTACCAGCAATAGTCAAAAGAACCAGAGTCATTTCTGAGTTAAGTTGGTTATCTGGGCCGAACGGTGGACTTGATATCAGTGTCCCGCTATTTAAAAAAAAATCCCCTTTACGCGGCGCTGGTAATCCGATAATTTACGATTGGTATGGTAGATCCCTTAACAATAGACAGCCCTGTGTATCACTCTGAGAGCCTGGTTAGTGGATGTTACAGTGGGAAGTGAATTCGGCTAAGATAAGTCGCGGAGTGCAGTAATGAAGGTTATTTGGTTCCAAGGCTGTCGCCAAACAAAGGTGAGAAACACTGAACGATTGGGTAGGAGGCTAGTAACCTCAACTCATGTCTTCACCCATCCCTGAGCTTGACTCTCCTCAGCCCGTGCAGAAAAAGACGAATGTTAAGGACAAACTAAAGAAGAAAAAGTCATCGCAGCAAATATCTGCACCTGGTACAGCCGTGCAGGGTAAAAATGAAGGTACCAACCCGAATTGGGCGTATAAACCCCCAGAAGGATCAATACTACTGAACAATGGCGACGACGACGATCTTGATTGGGATGCTCTGAACAAGGATGATAACCTTGAGCTGTGGCTAATACGCGTACCTGATACGGTAAGTATTAGTTGTACTGGAGTGGAATCGTATCTTATTCTTATTCTTATTCTTGTGTCTTTGTAGGTGAAATCGAAATACCTCAACGGTCTTAAAGTCGACCTACCATCCTCATCAAAATGTTCGAAAATAGGCAACATAACCTCAAAAAATGCAGTACATGACCTATATTCTATAGGGGAAGGCGAGAATGACTTAATCGGTGGTGAAGAGCTACGGGATATATCATGTCTAGTACCTCGCAGTAAAAAAAGAGGGAAACTTTATGCAGGTATTTTATTCTTGTCTCGTTTCATCTAGGCACGCTCAACTTCAACTCAAACCTTTCTCTCTGCAGCTCCCAAACCCATAGCCCGTCATATAGTTGTTTCCGCTCACGAATCATCTGTCGCCCAAACTCAGACCGGGCCACATTCGGCAACCATATCACAGAACCCTCCACGACATTCTTATCCCAAGGATGTTTTGAAACATTGCTTCATGCCATATGGCTCCCGGAAAGCTGACATTCAAGTTGGAGTCAGTGACGGGAGAAGCACGGGGCAGGAGGAGTCGCTTGAAAAGGGGGCTATACCTTCCGATGGAAACCTCAAAACCTCAAAAAGCAAGAAGCGTAAAGTGGAAAGTGAAACACCCAAAAGGACGAAAAAGGCGAAAACAGTTTCGTGATGCGTCTTTAGTGAAATTCTGGTTAGTGACCTCGATGATGAACAGATGAACGATTCAAATCTTCACACCCCTTAAGGTATTAATTGTGTTACATCTCGCCGCTGGAGATGGAGATGGACTCGAGCGCTGGTTTGAAGATAAAACGATGGTATTTATACTGGCATTTTCCCTGTTTGTTGCACTTTTTATTTTCTACAGTTTTCCAATGTGACTGATAGTTCTAAGTCATTGATATGTTGCTCAAGTTCTTCTCCTACCCGGCAGTCCGTAGTTTGACATCCAAAGGTTTTTTGTCGTTTGATACGTCAACCGTTGCTGATACTAGCTCATATATGTGATCTTTGTGAGTAAGCTTAAGTGCTAGAATGTGTGATGTGGTGGGCTACTCAGGCATTACTTATTAGGCGTTACCTAGTGTTTCGACAAACAAACCCAAGGTGAAATTTGATTCGAAAGTGCGGTGTGACTGGTGGAAAGAACAACCGTTCAAGACACAACAGCATCACCGAAAATAAGAAACTTAGTGACACCACCCATGGGCCCGGGCGTGGAAGGAGAACTTTGAACAGCCATGCCCGTGGTGAAGACTATACAAGCATGATAACTGCTACGTCCTACAACTAGGATATATCACACATGGAATCTCAACCGCCATCTCTTGGGCGAGGGCGGCGATAAAATATTTTCAGTCTCCATTCAAAGCATGGATAATGTCGCCTCCCCCAAACGAGAGATCAAGGATACGAGAGCACAGATTGCATGATGTAGATGCCATTGATCTGATCATTTGGAAAGTCTCCCTGGATCCCCGCGACAGCGATTTAAAGCAAAATTCAGTCTTATGGACGAAAAGGACTCATTGAAAGCTCTTGATATGATACCCGAAATTTTCTTAGAGCCGTCTGTGGAGAGCCATCTGCACATCGTTGTTCAAATTTTAGCCACCGGTGAGTTGTCTGTCGTTGACTCTTCCCTTTATAATGCTCATATCATCATCTGGATTCGGATTCTGTAGCTGCGCCGAATGTCTCGCCTATCTACCAACGAACTGAGTATATTTCAAAACATGTACCTGAAGCCCCTTCGTCTGGCGGAAAGCCATCTGTATTCCCGGCTAAACAGTGCAAAACCGAATACCTTTGCAATCATCCTTCCGAAGCTGCCAGCCCTATTCCCGTTACGCTTCTGGAGCATATTCTGCGCAGTTCATGGATGATTTATCAAAACTACGAAGCAAACTGCCAGCAAAGGGCACACTCCCGCACTTATCGCCTTCGAGAAATCAGCTGGTGACTAGTACATGGTAGTTATGGAAGTCCTTGACATTACTCAATCCATTGCGCGGCGCATAGCCTCCTACCGAGGCTTTAACGATTACCGTAAGACTGCTGTGGACCTTGGATCGTTGGAGTAAGCCGACTTCGGCCTGATTGAAAAGCTACATGTTGCGGGTTACGTTCATGGTGACCTTCGTGATGTCAATCTCTTTGTGCAAGATCAACATGACAAGACATCGACCAACTTTATGCTCCTTAACTTTGATCGGGCTGGTCCAGCTAAAACACGCTATCCGATTTACGTCAATTGAAAGGGAATCAATCGTCCTCAGGGCGTGCTGGACAGGAAGAGGATTGAAAAAGCGCATGATATAGACATGTTCAGGTATCTATTCCATCCCAAGAACTACAAAGCTGGGATGATTTTCAATGACTTTAACACATTACCGATCCAAGAGGGAAGCAGCTGGAGTAACGATCAGGAACACTGACGTCTTATAGAACGTACAAATAATATCTGATAATTATGAGATACGTTATCTAACTTAAATGCTATCCGCGTAGTGATATGCTCAGTCTGATGAAGCAATTAATAGACACCTAATGCTGTTACTATCTCAAAGCAGAGTACAAGGAGTAACTGGCCAACTAAATCCATCAGGGCTGAATGAATTGGTAATGCATACATGTCTGGATCGCGTTTTCTTGACCACAAGAAGTTGGTTAAAAACTGGGCCAGGTATAGAGATGTGCACACCTGCAACTGGTTCAGTATAAGTTCAATATAATTTTGTGTTACTCACCGCGCAACAGAAAAATACGACAGAAAAGAGCGCAAAGATTATCGGTAGACGAAGCCAACCAAGGGCTCGAAGCGTGCTTAAGAATGCGACCTCTATGGGTAATGTTACGAGTAGCAAGGTGAGCATCACAAGCCTAGGAGAAGGCTCCTTGCTATGTCGCGATGACGAAACACGTGTGGAAGCCGCAGCGTGTAGTGCCGTTGATAGACGGGAGACCAGGATAGAGCCAACACTCCCGGGTAAACCTATGCCATTTTTCGTTAATACCAGAACTAAACGAGTAGCAGTTGACCTAACCGCTAATCACGATGGCAAGTAGTGGGAATCCTTCATATCGGGAGGCAAAAATGTCTAGCACCATTCCTGTCCCACTGCTGATGAGCATAGCGCCAAATAGTGGGGACCATCCCTGAGTGACAAGACGCCTGACGAAGGTATTTTGACGGACAAAGATAAAGCAAATGATTGCTGACAATATTAGTAAAATACCAAGGATTAGAGGATACAAAGTGTTGAGGAAGGTGATGAGGACAGATGAGACAGCTCCAATGAGACACAGCGTTACCAGGTCGCCCAGACATGCAGCTATTGGTGGTGCAATGTTATCTGATCATTTGGAGTATAGGATTTAGTGATATTGAACGTCAATAAGTTGTTTACCTGGGTCGCGACCAAACCGTCGGCACAAGACAATGAGGGTACACATGAAAGACCCAAGGATTACGCTCGATATACAGGTAGATAACATGGCGCTCGACGCTACCATGGTAAACCTATTTAACATGTCCTATCAGGTATTATGCAGCAATGAAATAAACTAGCACTGACTCCGTTAATCCGGATTTTAACTTTGAATCATGTGGTGGCATGGGACGATGAGGTAGTCTAGCATAGTGGAAAACAGTGCTGTTTGTGTTACCGCTGTCGAAGTCTGGCGTAGAGGCGATGGCAGATGATGCTGTTAATTGAACTATAGAGCCGACAATAACGGAAACACAGGCGGCCACAAAAGACACCACAGTAGCTTGCACTTGGAGTAAAGATAAATTCCCAAGTATAATTTTTCGCCTTGTAATGGGATCATCGAGTTCACCGATGTTGGCTGCTGTTCCAAGCCTCGCAGAAAGATTCATTTCCAGGTTTCCCTTGAGATTAAGAACCACGGGAATAATTATAATCAGTTCGTCAATGGTCTGCATTGCTCTCCAACGCTAAAATTAGTTCACAGTTAAAAATGGACGAATACAGACATCCATGTAGGCCACTCACAGAAACATGATCGAGCAGTTCGCCGGTGAACAATAAGCCGACAGTAGTGAGCATGAGTGTTGGTGCACTCTATTAACAAGATTTACAGGCAGTAACCGTATATTCAAGAGACACTTACTTCGATGACAATATCCTTGACTTGAGGCCAAATACCGTTCGGACGATCTCTATACCGTTCAGTGCCTCTTGTTCTACCCGCTGTGCCTAGCAGAGCTGCACTTCCATCATCTATATCCTCTAAGTCGTCATATTGAAGGTTTTCCCGGGGTCCATACTGAGTGGGGCCGTCCTGGTATCGAGGGTTGGGCGTAACAGCGACGTCCTGCAGGTCGGCGAGCTCGACACCTTGAGTCATATCTGGTGGAGTATTATTCCCATTCCGCGTTTCTTCCATGAATTGCGAAGTGGCCTAACATGCAATAGTGTCGCGCACAAAAAGTTTGGTCGCGGTATAAGTACACCTTTAGCAAATTGAAGGCCAATCCTTGGAAGCTATAATAGTTGTAACCGTGAGAACCTGTTTTTGGTGGTAAACAAGGACAAGCGTGGCATTGACGCTCATGATACGGCGTAAACCTTGTTCACACCTTGTTCCCGTACTTGATTCTGACCATCTGGATATCGCGACAGGCCTGCTTCTGCCTCTTTAGGTTTCTTTTACAGGCAGGATACAAGAGCGGGATAGCGGGGAATCCTTTAGGTACTGAAATTTCGATCCCGGAGAGGCTTTTGACTTCGGGAACGTCGCAATGTCGTCCAAGCTGTCTCCATACACTCCTCCAGTCAATGCACGGTCTTTATTACTAAAAAACTCATCCGAGGCCGTTCCTCCAACCGAAGAACTGGAAAACCTACTTTCGGAACTGAGAAATATGAAGCAGAAGACGATGGAAAGGGCGAAGAAGGCTGGCGAAGACCTGAAGGTTATTGAAGAATCTATGAGACGAGTAAAAGAGCGGGAGAAAGGAAAAGCTAGGGCTATTGATAAGGTCAAACGAGAGCGTGGGTGTGCGTGTATTTTGCTACCTCTATATGCTAACTCTCATCGCGGTTTCCGATCATTATTTCCACCAATGCACGCTCTTTCATATTCGGCACATTTGCTGGCATATCCTTTGGCGTTTCAACCGCTTTCTACATATCTGGACCGATACCCCGACTGCTTTGGTCTGGTCGCAATTCCCATGTCGTGCCACTTCGCGCAAACGGAACTTCACTCGATGTCAATACGAATCCCGTACCTGCTCGTGTGCATATTTTGGCCGCATCGCTTAATACCCTCCAGTCACACCGATGCCTGAAACCGACGAAGGCAAATATTCTACTTCGCCGCATAATGTTCCTTCAAAGGCTCGGCCATCACCAATCCCACTTTCGTCGCTCCCCCCTTCTTCAAGATCCTCTATGGACCCCCGAAGGCCGTAAGTTTTCGTGAGAGGAGTGATCGCCGCATAAACCTAAAAATGCACCATTTTCAGATTAACGGATGAGCTCAAGAAAAAGAAGAAGAAACGGAAACGAGATGAAGATAGTGACCTCGAAGTTGGTAAGTCGACCCGTTAATTCTAATGACTCTTCTTTTGTTGACTTTTTATCAAGATTCCCAGCGTGCCATTAAAACGTCTCCTCCTGTACCATTCGCGCCACCTTTCCCTCCCAAACCATCTAAAATCGTTTCATCTGCCTCGATCATGCATCCTAAAGTAGGGCAACCCGATCTACGTCTTCTTATTTAATCTGACATTGTCTATGCAGCCCATTGCTGGTCCAGATTTCAGTGTTCCGCCGCCATCTCAGCTTCTTCCCGCAAGGCCTCCAGTAACTTCAGCCCCTGTTCCCGGACCAAGTAAACCTATAGATGTTACAGAAGACTTCAGCAAATTAAAGCAGCCCTCACAGGTGCTTGTTAGTACATTTTATGCTAGCGTGGAGCCGTGGATACGAGGCATCAAAGAGGAAGATATCGGATTTATGGAATTCACGGCTGACGAAGTTGAGCCCTATGTTATACCAAAACTGGGCAGGCATTACACGGAGGTTTGGGAAGAAATGGATACGACCGCATATGGGGCCCCGATTCCTGGATTCCCCCCTGTTCGAGCCGGAGAGGGTTCGACCTTATCTCCTGGCCAAAAGTGGGATCCATCGACTTTAATGGAATCTGATCTACTGGTTGAGGAGAGAAGTCATGGTCCCCTCACGGAGCGGTTGGTCAGCGCTTTGCTTCCAATGCCGGACGTAACAGTATGGAAAGGAGTGAAAGCAGCAGAGGACGCAATGGAAGGACGGCCAGGAGGAAGTGGGGCAGCGGCTGCGAGAAAAGAGAAGATGAATGTAGTAGATTTGGAAGAAAGGATTCAGGATACCATGCGCTTTCATGGGCTTTTAGACGGCACAGTAAGTGGAAGTTTCCATTTCCAGCGGCCTGCTGAAAGCAAAGAAATCATAGCCCGACTATTCCGAAAAAGTGGATGACCCAATAGCGACTGCTTTACGCCAAGCGCAACGCGAGCTTCGGACAGTGGTTGCGACGAATAAAGCACGCAGGGCTCGTCTCGCCGCTATTTCTCGTGATCGGCTTGGCTATCAAGAATATCTTGACGTGCGCGAGTCTCTTGACAAGAATATTACTACGTTGTACACCAAGCTGCAAAAGAAAGACGGCCCAAAACTTAGCAAGAAGAAGAAGAAGGGAGCTGAACCAAATGGGGTTGGGTTAGGGAGCGTTTCTAGTATCCCTCCACCGTCACCCGCAGCACTTGGGCTGGGTCCAGACGACGAGAATAAACTGGTTGTGTCGGATCATTTGAGGCAACTGGTGGAGACTCGACGACAGTGGGTTGATGCTGTTGGTGCGGTTTTTGAGGACAAGGAGAAGGAATGCCCTGGAAGGATCTGGGGTCTTCCGTCGAAGAGTGTGTATGATGGGATTGAAGAGAGCATAAGGAGAGAGCTTGATCATGCGGTGCCGACCAATAGTTCTGGGTCGAATCGACGGACTATTCATGAAAATGGCAGATCAGATGAGATGGATGTTGGATGATTTGGTTTGTGTTCGAGACTGCAGTGTCCTGTCGAGCTTATTTGTTCTGCTGACAATATGTATGAGACCCTTTTATATCACCTTCCCATACAGCATACATAATAATATCCTCCTTGTGATGTGGTCAGCATCGAGATAATGCTTTGTCTCAGTGAGACACATCCGAGTCAATCTAATCTCTTTCCTGTTCTTTTCGTCTCTGAATGAGCAGTTACCAGCCATGTTCTTTTCAGACCTGTATATATCCACAACAGGATTCTTGCTAGTGCATCATACCTAGTCTATGGAAATACTGATGAAATTTGTACGGTGAAGAATGAAACGAAAGTGTCGAACCTATTGGTGCTTTCCTAATCTGGTAATCCAACGGGGATACTCAGGCTCAAGGCTCTGACAGTGACCACCATCATTCATATCCTTTCCACCTTTCAGATTCTGTCTAGCTATTGGGTAAGTACACTGTGCGACATAATGTGGCGTACAATAAATCATTTCCAGGACTATCTCTCCATCTAGGTCACGCCGATACCCACCACTCAATATCCAGTTATCCCCCGTACTGATGCAGATTATACTATTGGTTCCATAACTAATACATTTCGTGCTTTCACTTTTAGTCGCGCATCCTTCCCCTTGTATTGTCAATCACCTATGAGGTCAGTCTAGTCCAGCTTGCGCGTCATCTTAGGCTTATGCTGGACTTGTCATGACTACCATTGGCCGTCCAACTACACGTCAAATTATCGCAGCGAGAGTCATGAAAGGGAGTAGTTCACGAGGAGAACACGCGAGAAAATCTACTCGGGTCCACCCCAAGGTCATTCTACTTTTCATCTGAGTCTTCATCAATTGAACTATTTGAGAATATAGAAAACAAGTACTATCCCCAAGGTAATCTTAAAAGTGACCAATTAAAATACACTCTTGATATTCTGAATACACCAGGGCCCTAGACATGGGCCTCAAAATATAATCGCGAGCGATGGTTCGTCACACTCGGCCAAGAACCTCTGCCACGGCCGCGTTCGCCTTTCCGACCTCCCCGTTCCATGCATGGACTATCCTGAGCGGTACGAACACCCACAAATAGAAAGCAAGCGCTTCAGATGGATCACCATACCGAAGGATCTGACACCATCAGATTATCCCCACAGCTTGTTCAAACTTCTCAATCACACCACCGACGAGTTCTCCGATGTACCGTATTCTTCCGTCGAAGGGCGTGGTCCTCCTAAACGGATAGTAGGCAACCCTGGCGATATCTATTATGATTTCGGCGAACGTGACGAAAATGATTCAAATAGCTCTCGTAGAGTTTGCAGTGCAATTTATATTGGCCAGGTCGATGGGTGGAAGCGTGTTGGTCGTTCAAACAAAGCAATCGAAAAATGCAATCACCCATACTTGTCAGGTTATGCATTGGAGTCACCTAGGTGGAGCGAGAAACATCAGAGCTATCAACTCAGTGGCGGTCGAGCTGTCTGGAGAAAAATAGATCTAGTCAGTCAAATGAACTCTGGCTTTAAAGATTCCGCGGAACCTCAAGCGCAGAAGAGAAAAAGGGACGAACATGAGCACGCAGAACCAAAATTAAAGGGTAAAAAGGCAAGGCAAGATAGAAGTCCATCGGTCGATGAAACACCAGCTTCCCCAGTATCAGTCAGCTCGGCGGTAGGCAACAGAGACCCGGCTGACTGCCCTAGATCCGCCTCGGGATTTTCTGAAAGTGCGTCTATATCCTGCTTTCCACATTCAGTATGATTTCATGATGTCGTCTGCATCATATTCACAGGTAGTTCCTCTAAGCTGCAAACTGTTATGAGTAATCCACCTCAAGGTATCAATGGATTATGGCATCTCAGTGGAGCAACAGCTGAGGATATGTCGACAATACAACGCGAGCTAAGGCAGGTGATGGACAACCCTGCGCACGTTGAAGGAACATATGCAGAGCACCAGGATGGAGACGATCGCCTACAAAAGCAAGTCGAACAGCTCTGTGGAAACTTGAGCAGTGTAGTACGGGAATATGCGCGACTCAACGAGGAACATGGTCAGGCTCAAGCAAGTCTGCAGAAGATGGCTAAAGAAATGCAGCATTTAAGGGAGGTGGACATTGGATTGCGCGAGGAAAATGGACATCTTCAAGAAGAGCTCCGGAAAATGATAGCAACAATAAGCGGTCTTAGGCATGAGAGTGATGAGGCCAAGCGCACTATTGCTTCAATACATCATGCCCACAACGAGAGGTCGGAGAGAGAGTTTCAGACAAGTGCGAATTACCATTCTTTATCACATTTGGGCTAATATTTTGTGTAGTGAAAGACGAGCGTGATTTAGCCTTACACTCTGCCCAGGCTGCGAATCGCGAGCTTGGCGATCTCAGGAAGCACTTAGCTGGACTTGCAAGCTTCTCGTCTGTGAAACTAGAGTCTTGATTGCCGCTGGCTATACGTGTGGAAATTCACAAAACAAATCGCAATACCATAGTCTTGTGGCACCCCCACGGACTAACGATTCCATATCTATGGTATAACTTACTGGGCAACGAAACGTTACACTTACCCCTTGTCGAATTCGTTTGAAACACTACAAATCGAAAATAACTCACTCTACAAACCTGGACTACAAACCGTGGTGTGTATAATATGGCAAAAGATACATACACACCCTCCAATTGCTTGATGACAAATACAAGATAATGTTTGTCGAGATAGTTGATTGAATGATATTGTACGGTTGGATTAAGGATGGTGCTATACAAGGCGCTACCAGCAAGCTATTAGTATGAAACGGAAGAGCTGGAAGTGAGCTATAACTATGTGGCGTGCGAGGATGCTTCACTTGTCTGTTTACCACTGCCAGTGGCAACTGCTTACTGCCAGCCTGAGGCCAGTGTAACTTAATCGTGATCAACTCTTGTTATGTCGTGTCAGTAATGAAAGAGTGATGAATACCACACCCTAACCACTACATGGTATTCGGCAGTTCATCATAGTAGTATTATAGTCACGGTAAGCTCCCTTTTCTTTCAGAGCACAAGCATTGGCAGCTGAAGTTTGTTTCAAAAAGGCATAGACTTGGAGACTACTGGCATCGCTGCAGTCCGTTTATTGATCCGACATATTATTCCGTACTGTCGAGGCTGAAAACACGCTTTGCCCATGCTACATTCGTTCTTCTCGGGTATGGATACACCACATGTGCCCACCGCACCCCGGTTTATGTTTAGGTCTGCCTCGTTGTCCGACACTGCGATTTCAGTGCATTGCGCACTATAAAGCTTGGGCCATTCCTTTGTGGAACTACAAAGTACTTGCCTAGCTTGAGAATATCAATATCTTACCTTATGTATTTGAAACCCATCCTACCTTTCGTAGTCCTACCTTTCCTGGTCAGCGCACTGCCCCAGCCACTGCGTACCGCAACAATTCCTCTCAATAAGCGGTCCAGCCTCAGGAATGCTGATGGGACCGTTGACCTGGACGCTGTCCATGCTCACATATCAAGAGTCGAATGGTGAGCGCATATGTCGTGAATTACTGACATTCTCAATAACTGCTTCCTTGTGTGAACGCGTCAGGAAAATACAGCGAGGTTTTGAAGCCTATGGAGAGAACGCAGGCGTCGAATTTCCTCAGACAAGACCTCAAGTTGCGAAACGTGTCTCAGGTTCTATCCCTCTAATTGACGATAGTAATGACCGCTGGTATGGGAGCATATTAGTTGGCACTCTTCCTTCTTTGTATACTGGTCCGTCAGCCGTTTATCTTCACTTCGCCAACAATCTTACATGGCATTATAGTTGATTTCGATACAGGAAGTAGTGATTTGTTTTTGCCTGGTCCAGAATGCGGGTCAACTTGTGGCGGGCATACACTATATAGCCCAAATGCAAGCTCTACGAGCAAAGATCTAGGACGGACATTCAGTCTTTCTTATGGGGATGGCTCTACAGTCTCAGGAGAGCAATATTCTGACTCTGTTCAAATCGCAGGATACACTGTTGGTAGTTTCCTCTTCACTCTCACGCATGCTGTTGAAAATAATCTTGATAGGCTACATCTCAGACCTTAGGTGTCGCCAACCAATACTCCAGTAGTTTTACTAAAAGTCAGTTTCCTCCTGATGGCTTGATGGGCATGGCTTTTCCAATACTCTCGGTATATGGTGCCAATCCTGTCTTTCAAACGCTTGTGTCAGAAGGAGTTCTCCCCGAGCCAGTCTTTGCCTTCAAACTTGCATCTTCTGGCTCGGAATTGTGTATCGGTGGGACGAACCCAAGTCTGTACCAAGGCTCTTTCACATACACACCTGTAACTTTTGCGGTGAGTTGAATGATCAAAGCAGCATGCTTCACCACTGACTGTTTTTTTGTTTTTTTTGTTTTTGTTTTTTTACAGGCGTACTGGCAGATCAACATAGATAGTCTAAATGCAAACAATGCGCAGATTATCGGTGGCGTGTCGGGCATCATCGATACTGGAACTACACTCATCGTTGCCAACACCTCCAACGTCAATCAATTTTACAGTGCTCTTAATGGAACAGATGTGGGGGGTGGCTCGTATACGTGTAAGCCAGCCAACGATATCTTTTTATGCATGTAGATGATGGTATTGAATATCCTTACATGCAGTGCCTTGCGATTCCATGCCTTCTATTAGTATAACGCTAGGTGGTACATCATTCACCATGTCGCCTGACACGTTCAATATCGGTGCCTACGACTCCACCGGTGAGGCTTGTGTAGGAGCTGTCTCAGCTAATGATGGTATCGGAGGTGTGTATCGAGCCTATCACCATTCTGAACCATCTTTTGATAACTCGCACAGACTTCTGGGTTCTTGGCGATGCCTTCCTGAGGAACGTCTATACTGTTTTCGACGTTGGAAATTCGCGGGTGGGATATGCCCAGCTGGCCTAAAGTGTGTATACATATGGGATATGAGCTAATAGCAAATGGTGATATGGGTACACTAGGGCAAAAAATCTCGCAGATGTGACTGACCACATGGACTTGACAGTAATAATGGACTAATATAAATATTATGGACCCCTCCCAATTAGACTCTTAGAGAGTGTGCGATGCTATCGGCGGCACATTGTATCAATCCGCCACAGCTCCAAAAGTGCCAGATCACTGAAGTTTGTACATATAGGCTTATGTTCCTTTTTTTTCCAAGTTCACGGTCCGTGTTATATACTATCATCGAAGTGTACTACAACTGAGTTTAGGCTAGATTGATTGGAGCTGGCCCTCAGCTGGCATCCCGTCATCTTCGATAATCAGCGGAATCGGCGCACTAGTGAGGCTCTACCGTTGTCTGGCACTTGGATCTGTTGAGTTCCAGCGTCAACTGGACTCTCGTTATTCGTACTCCGCACTTTAGGCATTCCATGTTGGCATTCTGCATGACCATATGTATACAGACCATTCTCGTAGTTAAGACCTCAGCGATTCTGTTCCCGCTGAGGTATGTTCATCTTCTCCTTGTACTCCTAGATTCTTTAATTAATAGCGATTCTGTTCCCGCTGAGATCACCTCGTGAATCTCTACAGGATCCACCCAGTAATACTCTTGGAGACCCTTTTCGTGAGTCTCTGGCTCTCCTAACAAGGTACTTAACTGCGGTATGGACCCAGCACCGAATATAAAGCAGATTCAGTGTCTTGATGGATGCGCAAGTGTTTTTGCCTTGAAATCATGCTTCTGGCAGCCATTGTAACTTTTTCCACTCTACTTATCCTAGCCTTGGCTCTCCCTCAGCTGGATGGCGTCCCAGTTTCTCTCAGGAAGAGGTCTAGTCTGTACGATTCCGAGGGGTCTATTGATTTGGATGCTGTTCCACTTTCTTCACTATCCTTCGAGCCACTATTCACCACAAAAAACTTCAGGAAGATAAGGCAAGGGTATGCAGCCTATGAAGAGAACACTGGTGTCGTTCCCCTTATCGACTATCATAATGTTTGGTATGGGAACATCTCGGTTGGTAGCCCTGCGTCTGTGTGTGCAGGTCTGTGTATCTTCACTCGTTCTACTTTACTATATTGATTTTCTAATGACGCGTAATAGTTGACTTCGATTCTGCTGGCAACTTTTTCCTTGTGGCTGGATCCGGGTCGACCTGCGATGGGCACAACGAATACAATCCGAACTTAAGTTCCAAAAGTACACGTCTGGGAGACGCGTTTACTAGTCAATTATTTGGTGAGAACTATACGATTTCCGGGGAGAAATATTCTGACACTGTCACCATTGCCGGGTACACCGTTAGTCGTCTCTTTATCGATTACGCAGCTCACGCTGAAAATGATAACGATAGGCTAAGACTCAAAATATAAGTGTCGTAGAGAAATACTCTGGCGCCTTCTGCCAAAATGATCACACTCCTCATAACTTTATAGGCTTGGCTTTCAAGGCTAGGCCGGGTGTATCGGTACAATCTGACACTCCTATCATTGAAACACTTGTCACAGAAGGTGTGTCGCTAAACCCATCTTTGCTGTTCAACTTGGGTCGTGCGGATCCGGCTAACTGCGCCTTGGTGCAGTGAACCACGAGCTATACAAAGGTCAATTCACTTACACATCTGTTGTCAGTGATGTAAGTAAAGCTACATGAAAAATTTATATTTCCTCTCTATTCTGATATACATGGTATCTCAGGGGTTTTGGCAAGTCAACGTAGATGGTCTAAACGTCGGTGGCAAGCGAATTATCAACGGCGTGGTTGGTCTCATCGACACTGCAACTACAGTTATTCTCGCCAACACCTCCAATGTCAGTCAGTTTTACAACGCTATTAATGGAACGGATGTCGGCGGTGGTTTGTACACCTGTAAGCTGTGGCCTAGACCGTCCTTTTGTGCACTCATAATATTGGAATGCTCGTGATGCAGTGCCCTGTCGTTCCATGCCCACCGTCAGCGTGACACTAGGTGGTACTACGTTTGCACTGTCCAAAGATACATTCGATCTTGGTCCCTACGACTCCAGCGGAGAGACTTGTGTGGGAGTTATTTCAGCTCATGATGATGTCGGAGGTAAATATTCTCTGAAACTGAATGCTTGATCTGCCACTCAAAATTGTTTGTTATTCTAGATGTATGGGTACTAGGCGATACCTTTCTGCGGAATGTCTACACTGTTTTCGATGTTGGAAATGCACGAGTGGGCTATGCCAAACTTGCCTGAAATATGATTGTATGATAATGAGCCTATCCGGGTCTCTTTCTTACATTATGATGTACACCATTGCCGCCAGTTCCGCATTGTTACAATTACAATATTTTTTATATTATGGCTCACGAGATATGATCGATGACCATTAGTCTTCATGCGAGCACGCCATACTATCGAACCCAGTGATACTATATATATACATACGAAATAGTCACTTGACTGACTTTTAGTTGGTCATAGTCAGCTATTGTAACTGTGTACTATCAACTACGTGCAAAAAGTGACTGGTTGTCTCTCCTTCCACTGGCATGTCACTTCCACCAACTAATATCCTCGATCATATCGTACATCTCACGCCTCCTGGATCAGTACAGGAGGTTTCACAACAATTTAGACAACTGGGATTTAAGTGCGCATTCAGATTACAAATTGCTTGAAAGAGACCTAATAAGTTGCATGACACTTTCCCTCAGCGTTATACCAGGAGGAACTCATGCGGGAGGGTTAACTGCCAATGCTCTTGTTGTATGCTTGATAATAGTCACTTGCTTTTCTCCTCACCAAGTTTTGGCCTAGATACTAGGGGATGACGCCTACCTGGAGCTTATTGCATTCACGCATCCTGCTTCTCATTACCCACCAGGTTCACCTGATGCCGAGAAACGCGCAGCGAATCCGTGGTCACACAAAGATCCTGGATGGATAGATTTTGCATTCTTGGGATCGTCGTCTGCATCAATTGCCAGTCTCATCAACGAACGTGGAAAGCAAGATGGCAGTGGGGTGACATACTCAACTGAGGTAGCTGGGGGGAGAGTGCGTGAAGATGGAAAAGTATTGAAATGGGTGATCTCCGCACCCGATGAGAAACATGGGAGGGGGGCTCTGCCATTCTTCTGTGGTGATATTACAGCGCGGAAGTGGAGGGTGAGCAGGTTTCGCCTTGTTGTGTCAAGTCAGTGGTGTGGTTTTGAAACACAACGTGCAGGTGCCTGTCGATCCCCCTTCTAACGCACAGCACCCTTCAGGTGTACTGGGAGTCGCATATGTCCGTGTCTTGGTCGAACATGCGTCGTTCCAGAGCCTCGCGGCGCAGCTAACGTCTGTTACTGGGAATTCGCCTGTTTCCGCCACTTCAACAGAATCAGTATGGGAACTGGAGGCACCAGGGAGCACGAAGGCCAGCTACAAATTGGTTAAGCCACGACTGCGTCTTAGTACACCTCTCAATGAAGAAGAGCGCGAGGCCCTCCAAAATAAAGGACCAGGAATCTATGAAGTTGCGTTTCGGGTTTCAGAAGGAAGGAAGACAGGCGAGGCAAAGACACCTTACGGAAAGCTTGTGTGGGTGTCGTAGTAGTTATATTGGACTCCAACATAATGATACGTAGCGTTTCCCGTGAAAGCAGCGTGGGGCTATAAAACTTCGCGTCGAATAGTTTATGCAAGATTTATCGAATGAAGATCTTATATTTCAGATAGACTATTTGAAGTCAGAATCCCCCTGGGATGAATGGCGACTGTGATCTGACCCATGGTTAGGTCTTCGTTGCGAAGCGATGAGTCCCGAACTGAGGCCTTGACGTCGATCGTCTCCATAGTAGGGTCAACAATGCGGTAGAATAGACTGAAGATCAGAATGGATTTTTTGCGGTAAAGTTATAGCTTAACTATGCATCCAACAGTGGCATTTTGTCCCCAACCTCGACAGCCTCTACGCCAGAAATAAGCCCCATATTTCTCAAGACCTTGTGCTTGGAATGATCCTTCAGGTTGGATCAACAACACCTGAGGGGAACTTGAATGAAGGTTTGCTGTGACCCTTGAGTCAGGACTTTAAAGTGATGACAGCCTAGAAGTTTATATATAAAAATGACTCCCATGATCATATCCATCTACCTAGATGATGCTATTCTTCGATCCAAGATAGATCTAGTTCTATGGGAGATGGATCAGCAAAAACTGTACAAGAAAAGGCGGAGCGTCCACCTGGACCATGAGCGTCACCTACTACTTACCATCGTTGGAAATAAGCACCAACTATCAATAGCATATATCATTTATGGGGGAGTACCGCGCGTTGATAATACATCCCTAGTATATGCAGCGCCGGAGGTTCTGCCAATTCCTGTCACCACGGGCAAGAAAGCGTGGTAGCTATTCCGAATTACCACGGATATGGGCGTGAACCTAATATTTTTGGCGGGATCATCAGTTCGGCCGATAACCACCAGATTCAAGTATTACAAGGTATGCAACAGCTGTACTGCTATTGCCTAAGATTGTGAGTGAACGGCATGCCCAAACACCACTTGAGTTCTATTATTCAATCATGTATCAGCCTAACTTGTTTCAATGCATTAGTTCTGTCCTTTGTTCTAACGTATTACCTTTGGTTCCGAGGCGGTTTATTGAGATCAAGGCTGAGAGCCCCAATGTCAGTACACACCTTTATTTGTGAGCAACATGCCCCGCTCAGGCAAACTATCACAGTCCTTGTACGCTAAGCTCTGGTGTGGTCGTGACTTCGGCTTTATACTACCAAGTTTCAAAATATCGAAAGTGGCGGAGACAGGCTAGCATGCAGCTAAAGCCCGAAGATCTATGATTGTTCTTCTTCTCCCATCTTATCAAAGAAGAGAAGAGAGGTGGCGGTTCTTTCACAAATCGTCAGTTTTAAGTTCCAGCATTGAAGACTCGACCCGCTGTCACGCGGCTGGTTCACAAAGGCTTGGCCACGCTGCGCTACTTTCGCTGCGCTGCCACTTACCTCTGATCGTTGGGAGCTAACTGGGGTCTGCATGAGCATTGATTAGGAGCTGACCTGATGCCTTCAATGTCACTGTTCTTGCGTTGCCAGGCCTGCAGGGGCCAGCTTTGGGATATCAGTATATTGCAATTATGTACAGTATCATTTAATATTTGTATGAACGTTTAATTCTGTATTGGCTAGGATTAAATCTTGTTGGGATGGATGAGAATTATAGGACTTACTCGGTCTAACGAGAGAACTACACGGTATCGGCCAGAAGGAAAGTCACCATTGCCATAGTGTTTATACTCACAGCTTGCAAAATGGCTCACAATGTCTGAACCTTTGATGATGACTGATTCCGTTAGAAACTCATCATGATACAAACGAACACCCAGAAGCGGGTATTGCCTGTAGATGTCGAATGTAGCTTCGAGAGGTGTTAATGGTCGGAAAGGCTTTACGAGCATGAAGTAATCGGTGATTTTTTTGCATGTCCCTGCACGAGAATGAACGAAAATCCCATCAATTTTTCCTGCGTGTGCCTCTGCCTCACGATCAGATTTATACAGGATCATTGAGTCACCGATGGATTTCTTCCCTGTCGTGAAACTGATCCCTCGGAAGGTGATCCTATCACGCTGCTGTACCATGGGACTTATGGGTATCGCTCCTAACGTCGTATGATCGTCTTCTGTACAGTACTGTGGTGTGGCCGACTCGTGCTGGATACAATGTAATAATTTTCTATACACCTCTTTTGAAAGTGGTCTGAGGGCGGAACTATCGTATGTGCCTTCGTCCAAGATTTCTGCCGCACTAAGGGTCTGCAAATCATTCAAAAGGGTTCCATGAAAATTGGATCCAAAGTATTTCTCGAATAGTGTTTTGAAATGATCCACAGCGTCACGGAGGCCATCACGAAGGCTGCTCTCAAAAATTAATGCCTTCAGATTACTTCCACGACAGAAGGATAAGAAGAATGTGAGTTCCATATCCCCTGGATGCACAGTGAGCTCGCTACAATTACTAGACAAGCAAGGTACTTACTCAGCTTATTATTCGTATTAGTTTTCTGCATAACGCCAATGTACCGTTCAAAGGGGAACGACCACCAGCCATGAACTGGACCGAATGACTCCATGCACTCCACTAGATGCAGTGCTGCGTGATGGTTTGTTACAAGAACATTTGAGGAATATAATGATATTAGAGAAGTCAGATACCGATGGAACGATTGCTGGATGATATGGATATGTGATGCTGACGTTGAGCGCATAGTTGCCCAGCGCACACCAATGACGAGTGCCAAGTAGTTATCGAGCATGTTTTTTTCTCGCTGGCTTGCTTCAGCATGTCCCCAAAGTCTGATCAACGAAATAACACAATTAACAGTGCAGGCTGTACGCCACTGGTCAGCTTTGACATAACCCTGGTTAACACTACCCAAATTCCTTGGAGCGCGGGTCATCCAGGAGGGGATAATAGTGTTAGCCATATCGAACCATATTTCCTTCAGGATACCCTTATTCATGATCGCGTTGGATGGTGACACGGGTTTGGATAAATCTACGACTGGTTCGTGGTACGGGGAAGGCACCTTGATCTCAACTCGGGTGGAAACATCCGACCACTAGAAAGGTTTGGTGAGAACTTGACTTTATAGACGCAAAATACTTGGAGCATACCCATTGTATGAGGGCATTTGCATAATCTGCTTTTACAGGCTTCGTGATCGAACGATCGACTACTACTCCATTCACTTGGGCCAGGGTAATCAAGTAACCTAATCGATAGCTCTTGAGACGGGTCAAAGATTTTGCTTTGAGCGCCTTAATTGTTCCGGAAATTTCCTCAGCTTGCTCCTCAGGGCTGTGAGGTTTCGTACGTTTTGCTGGGTCATTGGGATCATCTGCGAGAGCTGACATCTCCCATATTACAGTCAAGTGTCGCTTCAATTGGCCCAACAGCAGATTGTGCATAGCGTCCAAGGTAGCAAACTTCATAGGGTTCCAATAAGGCAACCGAAGGAGCTCGGACCACCGCACACCAGAAGCTCTCCAGATTTCGTGTCTCTTGGCCTCTGTAGGGGCATCTCTCCATTGCTGAGCAAGCTCCAAGTGCGCTTCCCAAGTGCGACGGGGCCAACTCAGATAGTCCGTGTTGGAAATATCATCCTTGTCAAGTAGACAGAATGAGCAAAAGAAATGGCCGCCGTGACCAGTGAATCCAGCGATTTTGCGGTGGGCAGGCATGTCGCACACCAAAGGGATAACAGCACATTTTACCAAACGTCCGAATAAGTGCTTAGCTGTTTGAGAGAAAAAAACGCCCGGGCTCCAAAAGCGCAAGAGATCGTCAATTAGAGGTCGCAAAAGGTGATTAACTTGGTTCAAAGACGGCTCTGAAGGTCCAGGAATTATACCCACCAGGTAAACATTTTCGATGCGGTAACGTAGGTGTACGGGAAGATTCAAACAGACCATATACATGACGCCGATAGATATAGATTTCGATTGTCGCTTTCGTCCATTGGGATTAAACCAATCTATAGACAAACTAAATGCAAGCGGTAGTTCTCCATTGCGAGCCTCGAAGAACCATTTTCCGCTAGATCCTTTGAACGATGTGAGAACACTGCCATCCCAGATGTCTCGCATGCGCTGAGTAAAAGTACGCTTTGGTAAATTTTCGAGATGGTCCTCTATTCCTTGTCTTGATAAAAACCTAGCGAGCCATGATTTGAGGGGTTGATATAGAAACCGACGAATGGGCTGTTTGCCTACGAGAACTTCTTCATCGCTAGCAATGCCCCCCGATTTTTCCTCTAACAGTTTAGCCCCACAGGTTGGACTGCCAGGAGTTTCGCGATGGGTGCATGTGAGTGGATACTGCAACTCCCCTTGGGATTCCGTTGCAGGATATAAAGCAAAACATTTTGGGCAACAAGCGTATTGCGATATCTCAGGGTCAATATTGAACTCTCGAATCACTGCACGGATATCTTTAGGCCAGTTAACACTGTCCGTTAGCGGCTGGATATCCGCAGGAATTGTGGATCCTTGTGCAGAGCTACCCGCACAGTAGAAACATGTCATAGCCACAATGGCATGTAACGCATTGAGTACGAAGTTTGACCCTGTCCTAGAGACACCCGAGACAAGGTATATTATCAATGCAGTGAGTAGGGAAGCAAGGATGGGTGTGGGCATTGAGGTCAAGCGCGAGTCAAAAAATCGAGCTGTGGATAAGGAGAATGAATATAAAAAAACAAGAAGAGCAGCACCGACTGGCAAACTTACAGGTATTTGCCACAGAGGGCACTGAATTATTGACACGATCACCACTGTGCCCCGGTAGTAAACCTAGCTCCATTTTTTGACGAAGCCACTGCTCTTTCTTGATCCCGTCAAGGTAGGTAAGATAGTCTTGAAGTTCTTGTATAAGACCTCTTCTCGTTGACTGCACTGTTTCCTCCCCATGGCTATCAATCCTATCAATAGCCAGAATCATTTTTTCCATTCTTTCTTGAAACCCTATGTGCTCTGCGTTAGAAGACCCCTTTCTGTTAGTGTAGGTCAGGCGAGGTACTGGCTCGTGTGGCG